ACGCATTTTGGTTTACTTCAAACCATAATCTGACGCGACATAAATTGTCCATGTAATTTCGTTTTTAATTATAGATTAAATTATTCTGAATGCATTTTCCTACAAACCCATTTGCCAATTAAATATTGTTTAAGCATTTAACGTCTATCGATTTTTCGTAGATTCAGCCTTTCAATAAATGTATTTTAAGATCTATAATACCTAAACCTTTATTGATTTTTTTTTAATTTTATGCAGCGTCAAAAATAAAGCTTTGTTTAAACAATATTTAATTGGCAAATGGGTTTGTAGGAAAATGCATTCAGAATAATTTAATCTATAATTAAAAACGAAATTACATGGACAATTTATGTCGCGTCAGATTATGGTTTGAAGTAAACCAAAATGCGTGGTTTTAAATCAATTTGCTACCGTTACGTTTACCGAATAATTTGTAATGAATAAATGGTCTGGTCACCTTGTACTCAAAAAAGCCTTTTGGAGGAAAGTTTTGGGGTAGTTCTGATTTCTTTTGTTTATTATGATTTTTTTGGGATGCTGAATTCGAATCTGACTACACAGCCCTCAAAATTTCGTGAGGGAACACGGAAAGAAATGCAAAAAAGTGGGGAAAAACTGGATTTTTGTTTATAACATTAAAAATATCAACTTTTCGTAAATAATCTCTCTATTCAATATTTAAGTAAAGATAATTTCCTATATTTTTGTTAATTCATTATTTCTCTCTGAAGAACTCTTGAGCTCAACAGCCAGTTGAAAATTAGGTTTTTTTGGTTGTCTCTGCAAATAGCCACTTTTTGTACTCCAATACTCCCATAGATTTAGTAAGAACAGATATCACATTGTGCATTTTAACCCGATCAAACAATCGGAGGTTGATTACGTACTGTAAAAACCAACTAAGATAGAGAAGGCGACATTGCCACATCTCAAATTTGCGCCTATCTACTTAGTTTGATTTGCAGAAAAGGTGACTTTAAAACCTTCACCGGATATCAATAAATCTCAATTTCTTAATTAAATTAATAGTTTATTTTTAAAGAAGCATGCGTAATAATATGTTTTAACCAGAGGATATATGCGTTACTATTAAAGGACATGTTTACTGTTTAATGTGTTGAAACGTCTAGAACTATTGGCAACGTCGCTGCTAGTCTTCCAGAACGAAAATGAGCCGTCCGTCCCACCACCCCTCGCGAAGGCCCTTGGTCCATTATGGTCCATTATAGCGTACTACGTTTAGCTTACGGTGTGTTTGAAGTCGGAATCAAGTCCGAAGTGAACTTTTCAGTGTTTTTCAGCAGTTTTTGTTTTTGTTTAACGTACTTTTGAATCTGAGAATTTTCAATATGATACGACAGTGTCAAGTGTGTGGAAATATAAGCTCAAATTACCCGAATTTGTCTTTTCACAGGTAGGTACATATTTCCGCCGTAATTGTACGTAGGCGTCCCACAAGAGAGCTCCTTACAATTAAAATAATTTCTAATTATATTTGTTGAATTTGGATCTATTAAAACAAGAACGTAGTAGTCGGTAATTGAATTATAATTCGTCTCAATTACTACCTAACTGTTGTAGATCATAACAAATTTGAATATAAACGTTGCATTTGAAACTTTATTATAAGCCAGAAAGTGACATTTTTTTCTTAAAATTGCGTCATATTTTGGTCATTATATACAATATTCTAAAGGAATTTTGCTCAACAAATAAACAAAGGTGTTTACCCGACCTTTTTTGCATTTTACTGCTTTATTATAACTGCCCCTTCCGCCTTGTTTAGGCAATTTTTTACCACCGTACAAATACCTCTTCCTAGAGTTATTTGTACGGTGTGTTTATCTTTTTTTTAGAATGGGACGAACTGTAAATAATTTTTAGGCTACTAGTTTTATACATACCTATATAATAATAATATAACGGCTGTATATATATGTATATGTATATATGTATATATATATATGTACATACCTATATACAAAATGACCCAGGCCTCCAAAAAAACTTTTTATCTATTACGTTTTTGGTTTGTGATTTTTATTTCAATTTTTTACATAAGATGGGGGTCATTATAGCGCACATTTTCAAAATATTTTTGTCAACATACAAGGTGATTCAAACCGCATACATATGCTTAATACAGTTCATGAAGATTGAGACATTTAACTAAAATTTGATTGTCTGATGAAGCTACCTTTAAAAGTAATAGGTTTGTAAATAAACGTAATATTCATTATTATGCGACAGAAATCCGATACTGTAGCACACAGATTTGATACTTTTAATGATAAATGCCTTCTATTGAGAGACTAAAAGGTAATTGCCTCGAATCAGAGCCATCATAATACAAGAAGAAGACCGAAAGTCAAATCTTGTCTTATATTTTCAAAAAAACACAATTTTCTCATTAAATATTGATTTTAGGTATAGGAAAAGATATTAATAATACAAGATTAAACAACTATTACATAGTACTTTACAGGAAGCTGATTGCGAACTAACTAAATCGTTACTAATTACTAATTTTAAAAAGTTCTTTTTAAGATCAAAAAAGGTAAAACTAAAACCTAAATTATCATTTGAGATTAATCGGGAAGTTCTAAATAATGTTGCCTATTCTAAACAAGAAAAATGTATTTATAAGTTTTATAACATCTCTAATTAAATTTGGACGAAAATAATATTTCTGTTTGCTGTAGGTAATTTTCTCAGGGAAAATACGTAAATAAAAATGACTTTTTAAGTAAAAAAAAGTCAAAAGGACAAGTTATTCCAAAAAAGGACTGTCCTTTTCAAAAAAGGACAGGTGGCAACCCTAGGTATTTCTGGAATGGAAATTTAATGGCAAATCTACAACTTTAGTTTGAAAATATGTTCCGGCCCCCTATGTTTACAAAAATGTCTAAAATGTGCTTTACCATTGCCTCCATATTCTGAAAAAAAATTGAAAGAAAAGTCACCAACCGCAAACCTAATATTGAACTGTTTCGGAAGCCTGAGTCACCCTGTAAATATTCAAAAGTAACTGAAAGTTTATATAGAATTAACTAAAAGTTTAAATTGAAAATCGACGTTGGAGCGATTTTCGAAAACTACCTACTAACGTTTCAACATAAGTATATGTGGGATATTAATTATATTTATTAGACCTTAACAAAACTCATCTAACGAAAAAGTGTTAATGTATATTAATATGGGTAAAAATTTTACTAATTATTTTCAACATATTTATTAATCCGTAATATCTAACTAGCGTGACGTCATAAATCTCGCTCCGAGGCTGTTCTATTAGAGACGGCATTGCGTCAGCATAGCCGCAAGTTGCTAACCTAATAAAATTAACACTAGAAAAGCCCGCGGGAACTGTCAAATTGAAAGTTATTCGTTTTACAGACTATACAAGTATTATTTATGAATGAGATGTTCGGTCTATATTTATAATGTCTTTGAATACTCCTAATTTATTATTATTAAAGTCTGGTATGTGTTTTGGTTTTTTAGTTTTAAGTTAAATGTCAGATAGACAGTGATTTTAACAATATACAGTATACAGGGTCCGGCAATAGTACGTCGGGCATCTGTAGCTCCTAGAATAAAAAACTCGAGAATTTTGTTTAAGTGCAAACCTAAATATGTACGAGGATGTATTTCAGAAAAATATTTTAACTTCTATAGGGTGGCTCAACAAAGTGTGAGTGGATCGGAATGATTTTTTTAAATAAACACCCTGTATATTAGTGCATTTTTGGCTTCCATTCATATCACTTTTCATAATTCTAAAATATGAGTAAATATATTTCGATAATTTCAGAGATACCAGAGTATGTATTAATAACATACTAAATAAAAAATATATTTTTTAACCTTCCTTTAAAAAAATATTACAAATACAAGCTGTCCTGAAATCAAGATTATATTTCGTATTTACGTTAGATGGTCTCTACTTACCTTTGCTATAAATTTCGTAATCATACGGGATGTTCAAAATTCTACGCCAAACTTTCTAAAATATTAAATAATTTTTCTTTGTTTTTTAAATGAAACACCCTGTATATTATTTTTCTATTAGATGGAAAATTAAAAAATTAACATTTTTTGTATTTAAAGTATATCAAACATTTTATTTGTTTCGCAGATACACGCAGTATTATTTCATATGGCTCTTTCAACGGGAAAATATGAGAGAAAAATCATTGGATGGCTTTGATACAAATTTACTGCCACATGAAATATAAAACCGCGAATATCTGCGAAACCGTTAAAAATTTTGAAATACTCTAAATACAAAAAATGTTCACTATTTAATTATTCATCAATTAAAAGAATAATATACAGGGTGTTTCGTTTAAAAAACCAAGAAAAAATATTTTATATTTTAGAAAGTTTGGCGTAGAATTTTGAACACCCTGTATGATTTAGGATTTTCATATTTATAGCAAAGTTAAGTACAGACCATCTAAAATAAATATCTAATATAGTTTTGATTGATTTCAGGACAGATCTTGTATTTTTATTTTTTTAAAGCTGAAAAATATATATTTTTTATTTATTTATTAATATCTCTGAAACTATTGAAATATATTTACTCATATTTTAGGATGATATAAAGTGATCTGAAAGGAAGCCAAATTTGAAATAATATAGAGGGTGTTCCATTTAAAACAAAATCCCGATCCACTCACACTTTTTTGAGCCACCCTAGAGAAGTTAAAATATTTTCCTGAAATACATCCTAGTACATAGTTTAGGTTTGCACTTAAACAAAATTCTCAAGTTTTTTATTCTAGGAGCTACAGATGCCCGACGCACCATTGCCGGACCCCGTACAATAAGTAGTTCTTAAATAGACAAAGACAGAACTTAGAAGGATAAAGTATGGGAATAGTCTAGGAGCGCACGCATGCGTTTGTCACTGCTTTTCTTCGCATGATAAACAAAAATTTGTTGACTTGAGTGCGCACATGTGTTTTAGAGGTCTCTATTTTTAAAAAGTTTCTTTATTAAATATGTACAAATACAAGGGGTAACACTGCTTATTGTATATCTTTGACAGCAACCAGTGCCCAGCACCTTGGCGATAACTTACTGTCCGTAATCCTCTTCAGCCTACAAGAATACCCGTACTCTCGAACCATTTCAATCCTATCCACTAAAACGACGTTTTCACAAACGCTCTGTATGAGTGCTTGGAGAGCTATATACACTGACACTGCTAACCGTTTTGTGATATTCGTGTGATATTCTTCCCATTTTCTACGCATCTCCATCAAGAATGGCTCGTCTATATCCCTGAAAATAAAGTTCCTAGTACGTACAGAGTGACCAACAATTTCTGAAATAGTTGGCAATATTGTATTAGAGGATTTTAGGTTTAGTGACCCAAAAAATCTTATAATGTTATTGTTAATTCTGTCAAGGATTGATTTTTCAAACTGACTGTTCAAAAGTTTGAACAGTTCGGGGTATATCTGTAATATGAAAAAAGTATGTCTGTCGTTACCTACTGAACGGGGTGCACTTGCTGTACGCACACTGGTGCGATCACGATCTCAAATAAGAAACCAGACTTTTGTCCGATCTCGTACTGACAACATCCACTCTGTAGTTTAAATAAAATAATTATTTTTTAAAAAGACTTTTCCGTCGAACAACATAATTTTAATTTTATGTCAAGCATTGACTAACATGAGACTATGACAAACAAGCGAGGCGTAACGAATTTTTAACAAGGCGTAGCCGAGTTGAAAAATTAGTCGAGAACACCAACATAGTAACATTTTTTTTACAAACATTAAAATCGAGATTTCCCGAAAAATTATTATTATATTATTGCTTCGAAAAAAAGCGTGAGCTTGGAATGTATGTTTTATTTATTACTGAACATCGTCATCGATTTCCTTTTAGGTAGTTTTAATACCTGGTATTTCTGGTGCTTGCCGCCGTGAAGAACTTACTAAAATGACGGTCGATAACACAGAAGATAAAGATTCAGTTTTGATTGTTAAAGTACAAAAACAAACATAGACCGAGTCTTTACAGTGTCAAATTTGAATTGTATTGAGATTTACCGAAAATACGCAGCTCTTCGTCCAAGAAATGCTACCCGTTGCAGATTGTTTTTAAAATATCAAAATAAAAGATGTGTTCAAAATAAAAAAAGTGTCACTTCGTACATTGCTATCAATTCGCGAACCTTGTCATTTCTTGACGTTTGTAGAAAAAAGTCATTTTTACTCCATCTAGAATATGCTATTTTTTTTTTCAAACGCCACAAATAATTTTTTTAAACAATTTAAAACGTTTCAAATAATATAAAAAGATTTAAAAGTAATATCTTGCATGTAATAATTATATATATATCGAGAAACTATGGTTACGCTCGTGGAATTTGACACTTTATGTCAGTTTAATAATATATTTTCGTACTTTTGTGCTTAGGCGTAAAACAGAGTTAAAATGCCTTTTTTATACTGTCAATCACGTGGAAAAAAATAATACTTTTGTAGCGTTTGAAAAAAAAGGACTTTTAAAAGAAATTTTTTAAAATCAAGTAAAAAATAATAATTCAGAAAGTATACAAAGTATACAAAGTACAAAAAATGTTATGTCTGTCACACGGTTTTCTGGAGATTATGAGACAACCTGTACAAAACATAATAAATTTATCAGTTAAAAAATAAGAATTGAGAATTACCTGGGTATAGAAGAGGGCGCAGCTAGCAACCGGTGGCAACTGGGCAAATTATTCAAATGAGTCTCGAAAAATAATCCCCCGTCAGTTGTTGTCAATTTGCCCGATTTTCGTTTCAGTCTTTTCACCGTGCAATTTTCTGGAAAAAAGGAGAAGAAAAATGTCTGTTGAGAAAAAGAAACGAGGTAAACGTAAAATTATCGGGGAAGAAATAATGTCTGAGCTATTTTTGAATAGGGACGGATAAAATTAGATAAAAATATACTGTTTAGTAATTTAATGTAATATAAAGACCACAAGAAAAAACGATGTGTGTCCAAAAACAATAAATGTTCAGGAGAGCGTTTTTAAATTCAAATTACGCATTGACTTTTATAGTTTTCCCGTTTTTAAATGCCTGTTTCTATGTGACCGTTATCGATATTCCCGTTTATTTAGGTACCAAAAGGTGTAGGTTTTTAAGACGAAAAATATTATGGCATTAAAATCAAATTAGCCAAAAATGGCCTTTTATATACAATATATATATATATATATATATCCAAAAATCCGTAAATCTACGGATTAATCAGTAGTTCCGGCAACACTGTCGACTGAAAGCAGAATATATTCTATATCCGCTGCGCTGTAAACGATAATCAGCGCGCAGCGGCGCAGAGCTAAACCAGCTAAACTAAATCCATAGGTAAGGAAATAATAGATCATTGCTTAATTGAAACTTATATGGTGAAATTTTGATAAAATAATTTAGTACTCACTAAAAACACGGTATGTCGCTAGTGGTAAGAAAAATAATTTTTAGAGGTTACTAGTTTATTTGGTTGCTTGTCATATGCATATACAGGGTGTTTCCTAATTAATGTAAAAAATGAAAAATCGTTAGAAAACGGCTTAAGGCGGGCTCTTAATAAGTATATTCATTTTTTTCTCGGCAACCGTTTGATGAACAAGAAAAACTCAAAAGATCAATTTTGTTGAAAAAGGATGGCTAGTCAAGAAAAAAATATATTTTCTTTAAAAAAGCAGTAGTGTACCATTTATGTTAAGCAAAATATCCGATTTTTTTTTTTAATTTTTTAACACCTGTAGATCAGAAAGGGAAGTACTTAGACCTAATGGTTATATAAAAATTGTTTTAAGAAGACATGAGGAATCACACCACAATGTTTTAGACTAATTAGAAAACACCCTGTATATTGTCAACTTGACAATGATTGTTGATAAATCAAAAAATACCTTTTCTGTAAAAAAAGCCCGATTTTCGCAGGAAAAATTTTGGATTTTATTGAATTTGGGCCTGCGTCTGCAAATACCGGTATGTTTGTTAATATTCCATCTATCTAAATTTTAAATATCTTAGTCAGAAATAGTTCTATTATTTATTAACTGTAAAAATGGTATACTTATAAGTTTTAATCAAATATTGTGATTTACTTTCTACCTTGTAGTCAAAATTTATATTTAATAAACTGTAAAATATATATATTCTTATGTTTTATTAAAGTTACTCTGATATACTAATATATCAGTGTAACTTTAAAACAATCCTTTGAAATCAAATATAAACATAAAAAATATTTACAGTAGAAAAGGCGAAGGCGCTGGGTTAAACGTAGTCTCCACTAAGAACACGGAGGGGCGCTTTGACCCAAAATTTTACTATTAAGTTGCATATCTATCTTAATATAAGATTATTTTCTTTTATCTATGATTTAGATTGGAATGCCCGTCAAAGTATATAACTCAAAGAATATACCTAGCTAGAAAAAGAATGGACTCTGCCATACTGAAAAATGGTCCTACAGAAGTGGCGCCATCTATTGAGTAGGGCTTGTTTTAAATAGATCGAAGCGCGGGCTTTTAATTAAATTTGATTATTAAATCTTATTTTTTACACAAATTCAACACTACTAATATCAAGTATCGTTGTGATGTGTAAAAAATAAGATTTAACAGTATAATTTACACAATTATTAAATAAAATTAAAGCCAAACATGTGTAAAAATTATTTATTATTTAAAGTTTTTATTTATAAGTCAAATATTTAAACATCATTTATTATAAGAAAACAAGATCAACGTAATACGCCCAAAGTTTTGTAAATGGAGTAAATATAAATAGGTACTTAAATGATGGCAAAAATAAAAGACTTACATTATATTTTTAGGGCCACAAACAAAAGGAACTGTCTAATTAAAACACATATAACAAAATGATAACAAATTATAGTTTGAAAAACGTTTTGATAATCATTTGATAATATTATGATTGGCGCTATGACCATAGATAAAAGAAAGTAATCTTTTATTAAGATAGATATAACTTAATAGTAAAATTTTATAACTTTTATAACTTAATAGTAAAATTTTGGGTCAAAGCGCCCCTCCGTGTTCTTAGTAGAGACTACGTTTAACCCAGCGCCTTCGCCTTTTCTGCTGTAAATATTTTTTATGTTTATATTTGATTTCAAAGGATTTAGTTCTAAAGTTACACTGATATATTAGTATATCAGAGTAACTTTAATAATAAGAATATAAGAATATATATATATATATATATATATATATATATATATATATATATATATATATATATATATATATATATATATATATATATATATATATATATATATATAGAATATATATATTTTACAGTTTATTAAATATAAATTTTGACTACAAGGTAGAAAGTAAATCACAATATTTGATAAAACCTATAAGTATACCATTTTTACAGTTAATAAATAATAAAACTATTTCTGACTATGATATTTAAAATTTAGATAGACAGAATATTAAACAACATACCGGGTATTTGCAGACGCAGGCCCAAATTCAATAAAAACCAAAATTTTTCCTGCGAAAATCGGGCTTTTTTCACAGAAAAGATATTTTTTGATTTATCAACAATCATTGTCAAGTTGACAATATACAGGGTGTTTCCTAATTAGTCTAAAAAATTGTGGTGTGATTCCTCATCTGTTCTTAAAATAATTTTATATAACCATTAGGTCTAAAGTACTTCCTTTCTGATCTACAGGGTGTTAAAAATTAAAAAAAAATCGATATTTTGCTTAACATAAATGATACACTACTGCTTTTTTAAGGAAAATATATTTTTTTCTTGACTGGCCATCCTTTTTCAACAAAATTGATCTTTTGAGTTTTTCTTGTTCATCAAACGGTTGCCGAGAAAAAAATAAATATACTTATTAAGAGCCTTATGCCGTTTTCTAACGATTTTTTATTTTTTAAATTAATTAGGAAACACCCTGTATATGCATATCACAGGCAACCAAATAAACTAGTAACCTCTAAAAATTATTTTTCCTACCACTAGCGACATACCGTGTTTTTAGTGAGTACTAAATTATTTTATCAAAATTTCACCATATAAGTTTCCAGGCAATGGTTTCCAATGCTTCATAGGTGTTTCATACATGCCTCTTTATATAAAATGAAGTTTCTTGTATGCAACACACTGTATTTTATTTATAAAATTAAACGAAAATAATAATAAATTTAACGCCATCTGGCAATAACTAGTAGCAACTTCTTAACCTAAAAATTAATTGCACTACCACCTAGCGCCTGAGGCTGGAACTATTTTATTTGAAATGTGCTAAGAACAACCGCAAACAATAACATAAATACTTTTCTCATGTCAAAGTCAGAATCTTCAAAAATTATAAAATTTTTCAAAATAATTTAAACCGCCCTCATTGAAAAAATACCGAAAAGTGTTTAAAGTAAGCGTCCATTTTCAAAGTAATTATTGCTATCTTGTGAGTTTTAATTTTAAGTTATATTTACTCAAACCCGTAATAATTGTGAAAAAAATCGCATTAAAAACTTAAAAAGCTGTGTTATGAACTGCGAACTGCAAGAACCATCGTGAATCGTGTCATAACGTCGGTTTCCAATGTTTCATAGGTATTTCATACATGTCTTTATATAAAATAACGTTTCTTGTATACAACACACTGTTTTTTATTTATAAAATTAAAAGAAAATAATAATAAATTTGAATAAATAATATTTGGCGATATAGTTCCAGAAAAAGCCGAACCGCTGCGAAATTTTCAAAAGCTTTGGGTCGCGACCTTTGCAATTATAGCGCCAAATAGTGTTTACATTGTCCTTATGGGCACTTTCCAATCTAAACTTGTTTTTCATTTATCTATGGGTTGCACATCTTCTTATTAGCCGACCATACCAATTGGTATGGTAGGCTATTAGGATCGCCAAAAAAAAAGTTTTTTTAATTTCACTCAAAATGAGTTACTTGGGTCATAAATGACCTAAATACAAAATATTTTCATGGTGTTTATCTGTCTGTCTGTCTGTCTGTCCGTCTGTAACACGATATTTGAAAAACCGCTGAACCGATTTTAACCAAATTTGGCACAAAAATACTGTGGCACCCGAGGATCTGGCCATTAGTTTTTGGTGGGGGTAGGGGTTAGTAAGGGGGTATGGGAGGGGGTTAAAAATTTTTAAAAATCGTAACTCCAAAATTACAGTAGCTAGCGAAACGCGGTTTTCAAATTAAGATTAGGAATAATATTTGCAACAAAATTTGTAATAACATCAAAATCAGTCAAAGTCGCAGTTTTTGAGATATTAACATATTTTAGTATGGGCGGCTATATGTGCCTCCCGGCGCCAATTTTTTCCTCAATCAGCGGTTAGAGTGCTTTTTATACATGTCTATGACGGCAACTAAATAAAATATATTTTTTTGACTCTTATGCAAGTATATTCGTAAATATTTCAACCAAGATTTCGGACCAGACTAGTAATTCAATAATCTCGAATCTCTGCGTCAATAAAAATGACCGATTTTTTCGCCTTTTCCGAAATTCGATTTGAAAAACGTGTTATTCGACAGACATATACATACACACATCCAGAAAGGGCCGTAAATCAAATGATATAAACGGTGGTTGGTCAGAAAGTTAAGAGAAAACAGTAAGTAAATGCGTCAGAATTATTTCGCCAGGAATGTTTTATACGCCCGCGTTGGGCCTACGTGAACAGAATCACGCAGCAAATTATATTAGGGCGTTTATAAGAAAAGGTGGGGGAGGTAAGAAATTTAGTGGAAAATCTTTTTGCCGCAGAAAATCAACGCTGTCAAAAAATAAATATATTTTTTCCTCTTGTTTCCCTTATTGTTGCTTCGTATAGTTATTTCGATAATTCTGCAAGGTTTCTTGTCAATAAAACAATTTATACTGTGTCTGACATAGAAATTGCCGTCTGAGATACTGGCTTTTGTCAAAGCCCTAAGATTGATGATACATCCTAGTACATCCCTGTTACTTATATTGTTATTTAATAAATTTAATAAAATTTTAAGTATTAGTTAAAAGTTCAATATTATACAACTCGAAAAAAATGCACAATCACCTGCCATTTGAAATCAAATCCATAACATCGTTTTCTTCATTTCGCAAAGCATTGAAATCTTATTTAGTAGACAAGGCTTTCTACGCCGTAAATGACTTAAGGAAGGCGCGCACTGCATCGGATCGGACCGACCAGCAAAAGCGACTGCGACCATCGTACATATAGACGGCGCCGGCGTCCACTAAAACATTTCGGCCTGTAGAGGCCAGATTCCTACCTCTACCTATCTACGATAGTCGAGTCACCGCCTTCGCCGTTTCTCGCCGGACTGGTACCGATTCAGTGCGCGTACACCTTTATACACACACCGGAAAAATCTAGGTATATCATTTTATTAAAGTTAAAAATAAATGTTTTGAATAAACAACCACATATTTGTAGGCCGATTCTTTCTACTTCGATTGAAACGAAGTAGTCACACTAGTTATTTCTAAATTTCGGATATTTGCAGAAGTGTTTTTGTCAAATGTATAAAAAGCACCTAGCATCAATTGTTCGAATTTAACCTGTACTGGCTATGTTTTTATGATGAACTGGCCAGAATTCATTTAAATAACTCTGTTTAGTATTAAACGACATTATGGAGCGTAGACATCTTAACAGAGACGAAATGCTAAGGGCCATGGTTATGCTTGAAGCTGGAATGCGCCAAATCGACGTAGCTAGAGCATTAAATACAACGCAAAGTGTAATATCGCGATTAAGTGCACGCTACCGTGAAAGTGGTGATGTTGCTGAAAGGCACACAGGGCGACATCGCATTACTACCCCTCAGCAAGATCATTTTTTACAATTAAATACTCGACGCCGACCGACTCTTACAGCACCAGAGCTTAGTTTAATTCTCCAGGAAACACATAATGTAACCGTTAGTCCTGACACTGTTCGCAATAGATTAAGAGAGGTCAACTTAAGAAGCAGACGCCCCTGGAGAGCTCAACCCTTAACGAGAGGAAATCGAGAGGTACGATATTTGTGGACTCAAGATCATGTTCAGTGGTCGAATGAACAATGGGCCAATGTTCTCTTCACGGATGAGTGACGCTTTGGAATTCATCCGGATTCGAGAAGGCTTAGGGTATGGAGAGAACCGGGAAATCTTGTTCGGTTGGATCATGTTCAGGAAGTGCACCCTTATCAAGGTGGAACAGTTATGGTCTGGGGAGGAGTCCAGTTAGGCCGAAAACCCGATCATGTTTTTCTTGAAAGGTTTTTAACAGGAATCACATATGGTGATTTAATTCTTGAGCCTGTCGTATTACCATATGCCAATGATTTTGGAAGAAACTTCATTCTCATGCATGACAATGCACGGCGTCATACAACCAAAGTGTAAGTGAGTTTATCAATGCTCATCAATTAAACATTTTACCCTGGCCGGTACAATCTCCTGACCTCAACCCCATCGAGCACGTATGGGACGCGGTCCAAAGAAGAATTTTGAGAATGGGTATGCCTCGTGAAACTCGTAGGGGGTTCGGGCAGTGAAGGCAGCGTGGCAGGCTGTACCTCAAGAAGAGATCGACAACCTGATCAGGAGCATGGAGAGACGATGTAGGGCTGTAATGAAGAGTAGAGGAGGCTATACCCTTTATTAAGTAAAAATGGTTTTATTTTATTTTTTTATCTTTTTTTTTAATTCACAGTTTAGAATAAAAAAAATGTGTGTATTTTTTTGAGTTCAATAAAAATCAAGGTAAATTTTAAAAATTCGGTAAATTTCGCATTTTTATATATATACGTTCTGTAAACTATTTGTTTATTTTAATTTTATTATATCATAAAATTGTAATATCCCTAGACTTTTCCGGTGTGTGTATTTTGATAATCGAATTTGATCTTGTAAACACTGGTCTAATGTTTGCTATTGCCCTGGTTTATAAAAATTCATATATAAGGCTATTACTATATTTACCAATGACATCGAAATTAGTTTATTTAGAGTTCATTGATATTTACTATAAACTTACTAAATATTTTTGAATCTTATTTGTATTTTTTATTTTTTGACATTTTAAACATTTATAAATGTTTATTTTAAACAGTAAGACTGACAATGTAAGCCCACGGCCACGCAGAAAGCGTTTTTAGCGTTTTGCGTTTTTTGCGTCTCAAGCGTTTTTTGCGATTTTACCGTTTGAAGCGTTTTTTGTGATTTGTGTCCATTAAAAACACCCAAAGACCCGGAAGGTCTGCAGTTTCTATCAAGATGTCAATTAGTCACATCGCTAGCGCGTCGATCCCCGGCCCGTCCAACAGTCAATCCTGTGAGAAAGAGATAGCCGAGATCGGCGCGGTTAGCGTTGAGGAGACAAAGAAAAAAGATATGCTCGCACTGGGATCGACTGTTGAACGGGCCGGAGCGCAGATTCGTATTCGTGCCAGTGGCGTGTGTACAAATAATTATTTGCCATTTCCTTTACGATTTGTAATGTATAGATTTTTTATGTCGTAGTTTTGTGGTTACTTGTGTGTTTAATTATAATATAATAATATTATATAATAAATAATTATAATATATTACTAGTTGCTAACGCAATTTTAAGACATGATTTAGCAAACTTTTTTGAAGTGACACTTCTTTACGCGCCCTGGGATTAAAATTTCAGAGCCGCGACACACGAGCTAGTGCTAACGAAAAGTGGTAACGGCTTAGAAATACGTAGTGACGCGACGTGTATTTTTGAGTAGTCCACGTGCTTATCAAACATATTGATATTTTAATACTAATTTTGTAAAAGTAAATCAAATTATTACGTGTAAAAACTATTTGTTACACGTAACTATTAACGTAAAAACTATTAATTTTATTAAAAAATTAATTTTATTACACGTAAAAAACAATTTTTATTATTTTTTTATTTTACGTGTATAAAACTATTTGTTACACGTAAAGAACTATTTTTTAAGAGTAAAAAACTATTTGCTGCCCGTAAAAAATTATTTTTGACGCATATAAAACTATTTGTTACTGGTAGAAAACCATTTTTGCGCAAAAAACTATTTTTTACATGTAAAACTATTTGTAACACGTAAAAACTATATTTTACGCGTCAAAAACTTATTGTTTCTGATAAAGAAAACTTTTTTTACGTTAAAAAAAAATTTTTAAGTGTAAAAAACTATTTGTTACACGTAAAAAAACTATTTTTTACTCGTAAAACACTACTCGCTACCGGTAAAAAAATGTTTTTATAAAAAAAAATATTTTTTATACATAAAAATCTATTTTTTGCACCTAGAAAACTATTTTTTACACGTATAAAGCTATTTGTTACCCGTAAAAAATATTTGTTACGCGTAAAGAACTATTTGTTACGCGTAAAAAAACATTTTATGCATAAAAAACAATTTTTTACGCGTAAAAAATATTCCTTTAATTTATTACTTTTTCAACATTTCACACCACACTTTGTTAAACATTTCCTTCAAATTTTTGAATTTAATAGAATCTTCCTAAACAGTATATGTTCTCTATAAAAATATTTTTAGATAATACTCGAAAAAAATGTATACTATTTAATTTATTTGTTATTGTATTATTAAAGATTACGTCCGCCTATGACGGGGTCACATAGAAAACGCTAAAGACGCTACAGAAAACAAATTGATTTGTTTTCATTTGCGTTTTTTGCGAGACACGCCGAACGCTAGACGCTTTTGGTGGGGCCACTCCTATATAATCCTATTATTTTGTTTTAGACGCAAAAGACGCTTCACGCTAAAAACGCAAAAAAACGCTTTCTGTGTGGCCGTGCACTAATTTTTTGTATTCTCTTTTGTTTGTTTGTTTGCTTATTTTGTTTGAACTTTTCTTTCTAATAATAAGGAAAAAATAGAAAAAAATGCGGAGGACCTTCCTTTTAAAATTAAGAGCTCATACTTGGAGATAATATTTGAGGTGTCTACCAACCTTTTTTAGAGAATAAAGTGGAAAAAAATTGTCGATTTTTTTACTCATCCTAATATTTACATTTCCTGGGTGTTTCTATGACACACAGTATAAATGACTATAATAGTTTCTCTAGAATTAGAATTAATAAGCATCAAACTTACGGTCTTCCGCAACAAATTCCAGAACTGCTCTGAACAGCAACGCTTGCGTCTTTGTTTCTAAATCCTTTTCAGACAATTCCAAAAAACTTTCGTAAGTATCCTGGCAAGCCAATCGCAAAAAAGGTGTCCCTAGATAGGTTTCACCTTCAAACCGTTCAAAAATATCTTTCAATGTTCTACTACAGGGAAAATTTGTGAAAATTGTTTTTTCTGGCATTTCTTCCTTTACTTCTGTTCTGTGATAACAGCAAGGCATTATCGATAAAGCTTTGACACATTCCATTTTTGAAAAAAGTTTCAAAACTGTCACGCTCAAATCCGCGCAGGCGTGTAGTCCTGTCAAGCATATCCGCCTGTTTTTCCCAAAATGTTTTTCTATCAAGCTTTCAATAGTTTTTTCGCTGTCAATTTGGACAAATAACTCGGAAAAAATGACGTTATTTTTGCACGAAGGGTATAAGTTTTCTTGGGTTTTATACGCTTGATCAATAAATTTCTTGCAGACTTCTAGACCAAGGACTTGATGACCAAAGTTTTGGAATAGTAGATGCGACAAATATCCCTATAAAAATAGAAATAAATAGATATTAAGTACCGTATGATCGAAAAAAAAAACCGCGTCTAGTTGGCTTGGAAATAACGATCGATGACATTTCCCATATATTTTTACGTATAAAATGAAAACGATTTTCATTTCATAGCCATCGCTGACGCCGTTTTTTTTCGATCGTGTGGTATAAGGATTATATCATAATAAACAAGTTAAGGTTTTTTAATGCCAGGACTAATTTGTATATAGCGATTTCTTATGTATAATACAGGGTGTCTTCGGCTGAACGTGCATTAGAAGTTTCTAGAAAACTACGACATCTAGATCGGATATTTTTTGCACAACATTGTTTTACAATGAGATCTATCGTTTAAAAATATTTTCAATATGGCGGCACTTCCGAAAATACCGGAAATTGACGGTAACTTCCTTATTTTAAATAGGTATCCCCATTTTTTATTACATACTTAAATTATCTGTAAAATTTTATGAATTTTGATATGAAACACTCTATACCCAACATTAACCGTTTTTGGGAAAAAAAGTATTTAAAATTTTTGGAGAAAAAACTGCCTGCCTATCAAAAAAAAATTGTATTTAAAAGCGAATATCTCCAATAAAAATAATGATATTCAGATGAATCAAAAAACAAACTATCGAAAAAGGATGCACCTAGTCGATAAAATGATTTTTAAATTCCTTGTATTGCTAACTTACACCACAGGGTTTTTCAAACATTCACCAAAATATCAACGTTTTGTTTTCCCTCGTATAATTGACAGAAGAAAACTTAATTTTTAATTTAGAAAGAGCCACAAAAAGCCTAACAATTTAGCTACAAATTGCTTAAAAAGTCATCAAAATCGGCCCACTAGAACAAAACATATCGTCAGTGAAACGTGATAACCTGCTAACGCCATTTTTTACGTTAATAAGTTTTTTATACCATTAGAAAGAGAAAAAATACTCTATAAATAGGGAAAGCAAATACATGTTTTCCCATTAAAGAAAATTTGCTATTTTAACTCAATAAAATCTGCTAACTCCCAATGATCTGAAATAGCCACCGAAATGGTGCTATCTCCGTAATTTCCATTACGATCGCGCTAAAGCAAATATACGGTTTCTTATTCATATGTTTCTTTTGTACAGTACGTCGATCCAGGGTTGAACTAGGCCAAAGGGACCCAGGTGGCAATGTAAGGAGGGATCCGTGTGGATTTTTTTGCGTATTTTTTTCTTTTTTTATTATATACAGGGTAGTGATGGGCAAAACTGTTATTTTTAGATAACAGTTGAAACTGTTATAGTTATTTATAAAAAACAGCTTAAAATAACAGCTTAAAAATAACAGGTTTCTTTATTTTATTGCTAAATATCTAAAAGAGTATGAGGCGGTCACCGCCAGGCGTATTAACGCAGTTGCAAGTTGCAACAATGACATGCTCGGTGGTAGTATTTCCAGGGTGTCAAAACATTTCTAAATATCGATTGTTATCTAAAATACCTCTCTAAAAACGGTGGTTGTTTACAAATAAGCGCTGTTTACAAATTGCGATATACTCAAAATTATAGCAAAAATTGGAAATTTTAAAAGTGAAATAACTCGGTTGTTTTGGATTTATTTGAAAAAACGGCAAAGAGAAAACATTATGTTTCTTTTATCGAGATTTACCAGCCCTAAAAATATTTGCACTTATTTAAGACTCACCCTGTATAGAAATCAGGGAACTAGCCTAATGCAAGGTAAACCAATGCAATGCAAATGCCATAATGCAATGCAAAAGCAAATATTGTTAAGAATAAATAATGAACTATAAAGGGGGCCCGCGAAGGCTGGGGCCCCCCCAATAATTATATATATATAATATGGCCAGTCCGACCCTGCGTCGATCCGTTCTGTAAATACGGGGTAACCGTAAAGGGTAAGGGGAAAAACGAAATTCTCTATATACGGAGCAATTAATCGGCGTGCTATAAATAGTTTGAATAACATTTGTTTTATATTTTTTTTCAACGTTTTTTCCACGTAAATGATATATAATTTTTATAAAAATTAAAAAAATAAGGAGAAAAGATTTAATAAAATCACGCACTGTTTTGCAAACTCGGTTAAAATTAGGATATAAGCATGGAAGGATTCTACCATATCTTCTAAGAATTATAAGTTTAATTTTTAAATTATTTTCATATTCATTAAGTCCAAAATGCTGCTACTTCAGTTCTTTAAAAATTTATTCGTTTTTGGACTTGTATGTTTTGCTTCTAGACCGACCATATTCTAAATATGTGGTTATGAATATCATATTTTTTAAATTAAATTCATTATTTCTAAATCTGTTTGAGTAATATTCAATTCCATTTTCAAAATTTCAAACAATAAAGGTTGCTATCTCCAGAACTATATTTTTATTTCGTATTCCTGCAAGACGAATATCTGCTATCTCCCTATTGTGTCTGAAAAAAATTATGTAACACGAAATATTGAGTTTTACTGTTCCCCAGCAAATAAAATTCTCATCTCTTTATCATATTAATGTATGAAAATACTTCCTACATGTGTACAGGGTGTCCCATTTTGGTTGAAATCATACGGTATCTCTGTTATTAGCGAAGATAGAAGGGTGCGGTTTGCACATACCTGTATCACTTTTTTGTCAAACGGAAGATGCCGTAAACAAAATTTTCATAGCCCTCTTCTTTTCCGAGCTACAGGGTCTTTTTGAAAGTTTTGCAATTTGAGACACCCCCCGTATCTCTGTTATGGTTAAAGGAAGGTTAAAGGTATCGAGAAGGTGAGTTTCCTATAATAAAATTTGACCCCTCGATTACCCCAGGTACAAACACAATTTGGTGTCGAAAGTTCGCCCGCGCGGGAAATTTCGACACCGTGCCTAAAGCAGGTAGGTAGGTAATTAATTGGGTTTCCCCAATATTTATTGTCACTTCTGTACTTGTGACTAAATTTACACGAAAATTCATTCAGTTGCAGTTTATTGTTTGACGTTGACTAGTGCACTTATAGATATTTTAAACATGAGTTTGATAAAAAGTTCCCGTGGTCGAGATTTATTAGTGGTGGAGAATCATTCGTTCTCAAAACAGAAAGTGTTAAAAAGCGGCGAGATATTTTGGCGCTGCATTCAAAAAACACTAAGTGTTCCGCAAAAGTGTTTACAATAGGCTGTAATGACCTCACCATCACAAGACGTGATTTGGTACATAATCATGAAGCCGATCCGAAAAAGCTTCAAGTAAAGATGGTTACCAATGCATGTAAAAAGAAAAGCCGAAGAGGATATATCAGAAAAGCCTGCAAAAATTACAAGAACTGCTGTTACTGAGGTGTGATGCCAATTTGCTAACGGTTCCTGACATAGCTTGTAAGAAAAAACATTTACAACTGTCGTCGTAAACTGTTACCAGGTCCGTTACCTAGAAGCATATCAGAAGTTCATAACGCGGTTAGTAATTATTCTCCTAAAACCTGTCGCAATGAAAGTTTTTTGTTTTTAAATCATCCTGGAATTTAATGTAATTGTATTTTCATGCGAGACAAATATTCGTTTGTTGTGTAAACTACAAACTTTGTATATGGATGGTACATTTTCATACAGTACCAAATTTTTTCTCTCCAATTGATTTACAATACATGGCTTTGAAAATGGACATTATGTACCTTTAGCATACTGTTTGTTAAAGGACAAATTGTCAATGACATACAAACATTTATTTTTCTTTATTAAAGTCAAAGATTTTGAAACATTTGAGTTATCATTAGAGCCAACTGAAATATTTGTGGACTTTGAAAAAGCAATTCACTGTGCTTTATTGTCTATGTGGCCAATGTAAAAATTAGTGGATGCCGTTTTCACTTACATCAGAACTGGTTTAAAAATTTCAATCTTTGGGTTTTGGTGAGGAATATAAGGATACAAATTCAGAAATTGGAAAATGGTAAAGACATACGTTTGAACGTGAAAACTGTTTATTGTAGAACTTTTTACGTAGAATACAGTGGCGTAGTCTGGTTTTCTGCCAAAAAAATATTTTTAAAAGTATGAACTAAAGTTATGTTTTTTTTAAATGGAACACCCTGTATATTTATAAATCATATGATGTGTCTTGCCATAAGCTTCTCAAAAATATATAACACTCTATATTTATTTTCACTATTTACTGCAATATTTAAAAGTTTTTATTAAAAGATCATATTTATTAGTAGGCCATGATTGATAATAAAAAAAAACTAAGAATTATTAAAAGTATACTGCTATCTGTCTCTTGTTTTATTTTGGAAGCCGCTAATAAATTCTTTATATATTAGGGAAACTTAACTCCCTACCGCTATTTGTAAATCTTGGAATACGTGTATAATCTACGTACGAATAATCTCTCGTATCGAACGAATCGTACGAATAATCTCTCGTATCGGAAATTTTAGATATTCCTTTAGCTAATTTACGTGAAATATATTTTCAGCAAGATGGGGAACATTCCCCCTCATAACTATGAAAATTTAGAATACTGTTAAATTATTATTTTTCAAATCAATGAATTGGAACCAATGAAGACATATTGATAGCCTCCTCGATTCTCGGATTTCGCCGTTCTCGATTTCTGATTTTGGGGATTTTTGAAATACGAAATATATCGTGGGAACTACAACCTACAACAATGTCGAACACCTGAAAAATGCTTAATAATTCAAGATTTAGATATTTGCAAACCCATCCCGTTATAAAAAAAAGCTGTTACCAATGCTATGTTACCAACAGTTATTTCAAAAGTAAAATATATCAATCCCAAATAAATTTTAATATGTGAATGACTATTTTAGTAAATACCATTTTGATTTTTTGTTATTTATCACGGCCTACTAATAAGAAAATGATATATTTTAAATATTGCAGCAAATAGTGAAAATAAATATAGAGTGATATATATTTTTGAGAAGCTCGTAGCAAGACAGATCATATGATTTATAAATATACAGGGTGTTCCATTTGAAAAAACATAACTCTAGTTCATATTTTCAAAAATATTTTTTTGGTAGAAAAACAGACTACGCTACTGTATTCTACGTAAAAAGTTCTACAATAAGCAGTTTTCGCCTTCTCGATACCTTTAACAATAAAAGAGATACAGGGGGTGTCCCAAATTGCAAAATTTTTAAAAAGACCCTGTAGCTCAGAAATGAAGAGGGCTATGAAAATTTTGTTTGCAGCATCTTCAGTTTGACGAAAAAGTGGGACAGGTTTGTGCAAACCGCACCCTTCTATCTTCACTAATAACGGAGATACCCTATGATTTCAACCAAAATGGGACACACTGTACATATTTTTTTGTACCGTTTTCTTGCTCTCCTGTAAAATTAGAAATAATGGAGTTAGCAGTTTATCACATTTCACCGACGATATTAAACTATGAAAAAAAAAACTTAAAAAGTTTTTTTTTCTTCCGTTTTTCGTGCCGGTGAGTGTATTTCAATTATTATTGATCGCTCCAAATAGTTTAATCTAAAATAAATCTATATCTAAAAAATAAACTCACCAAGCCTGATCCGATGTCAACAACCAAATCACAATTCGTCTTTCTACATAATTCATCTACTACAGGAGCAAACAAAAATATTTCATGCATTTTCTTATCGCTAATTCCTATGAATCTAAATACAGGCGGCTCAGTTTTATTAAACTCTTCGCCATTAAGTTTTAGTTGATGCAGATCATCAAAAAACATTCTTAAACTATCCTAAAAATACAGAAAATAGTAAAAAAAAATCCTTGTAATATTTTGTCTTTTGAAATTATACTGAAACTCACATTAGTTCCTCTAGATAAAATGTCTAGGATATTTTGGCGATTAGCAGTAGCAAAATAAGCAATCCATTCATTGGGAATATTGTCTAAAACACGATCGCAAAGTATCCTTGTATTCTTTGTGGTGTATATCCAACGGTACTTTTTCAAGAACACAAGTGCTTCTTCTAGGTACTCTTTGGGGATTGGAAATTGTTGGTGATAAAAACATGTTCTGGGATTAAAAGTTTGTCCCTTTCATTAGTGATTTTATTTATTAGGCTTATAAAAGAATATTCTCCCTTTTTCTTTATGTTCACCTGTCCAAACCACAACAACGTCTAATGTCGCTAAACTTTGGCGGCTGAGAGATAGATCAAGACATTTAAAGCTGTTATTTGAGGCTAAACTAAAATTAATATTAAAAAATATACAGGGTTGTTCACCACATACGACACGGAGTATTGTAGCTAATAAATAAAAAATATCAAAGTTAGAGTTTTTTTAAATGGGCACTCTGTACAGGATGTCCCATTTTGTTGAAATCATACGGCCCATCTCCGTTATTTAGTGAAGATAGAAGGGTGCGGTTTGCACAAACCTGTCTCACTTTTTTGTCAAACGGAAGATGCCGAAAATAACCAAAATTTTCATAGCCCTCTTCGTTTCCCGGAGCTGGGGTCTTTTTGAAAATTTTTGCAATTTGGGACACCTCTGTATCTCTGTTATTGTTAAAGCTATCGAGAAGGTGAAAACTGTTTATTGTAGAACTTTTTACGTAGAATACAGTGGTGTAGTCTGTTTTTCTACCAAAAAAATATTTTTGAAAATATGAACTAAAGTTATGTTTTTTTAAATGGAACACCCTGTATATTTATAAATCATATGATCTGTCTTACCATAAGCTTCTCAAAAATATATATCACTCTATATTTATTTTCACTATTTACTGCTATATTTAAAAGTTTTTATTAAAAGATCATATTTATTAGTAGGCCATGATTGATAATAAAAGAAACTAAAGAATTATTAAAAGTATACTGCTATCTGTCTCTTGTTTTATTTTGGAAGCCGCTAATAAATTCTTTATATATTAGGGAAACTTAACTCTCTACCGCTATTTGTAAATCTTGGAATACGTGTATACGTAAGAATAATCTATCGTATCGGAAATTTTAGATACTCCTTTAGCAAGATGGGGAACATTCCTCCTCATAACTATGGAAATATTAGAATACTGTTAAATTATTATTTTTCAAATCAATGAATTGGAACCAATGAACGCATATTGATAGCCTCCTCGATTCCCGGATTTCGCCGTTCTCGATTTCTGATTTTGGGGATTTTTGAAATACGAAATATATCGTGGGCACTACAACAATGTCGAACACCTGAAAAATGCTTTAATAATTCAAGATTTAGATATTTGCAAACCCATTCCATATAAAAAAAAGAAAAATATATTCACAGTTTCAGTGGTAACAGTTATTTCAAAAGTAAAATATATCAATCCGAAATAAATTTTAATATGTGTATGACTATTTTAGTAATTATCATTTTGATTTTTTGTTATTTATCACGACCTACTAATAAGAAAATGATATATTTTAAATATTGCAGTAAATAGTGAAAATAAATATAGAGTGATATATATTTTGAGAAGAGAAGCTCATAGCAAGACAGATCATATGACTACGTCACTGTATTCTACGTAAAAAGTTCTACAATAAGCAGTTTTTTTGCCTTCTCGATACCTTTAACAATAACAGAGATACAGGGGGTATGTCCCAAATTGCAAAATTTTTGAAAAGACCCCTGTAGCTCAGAAATGAATGAGGGCTATGAAAATTTTGTTTTGCAGCATCTTCCGTTTGACGAAAAAAGTGGGACAGGTGTGTTGCAAACCGCACCCTTCTATCTTCACTAATAACGGAGATACCCTATGATTTCAACCAAAATGGGACACCCTGTACATTATTACATTTTTAGTTTCTACGATTAAAATAAAGGTAAATTTGATTAAGGTCTATTACACTTAAACCTTACCGTTTTTGAAATATTTTCAATTTTGTGAAATTGCAGTAAAAATTTTAAGGCTGCATTTCTCTAAGGGTATCAAACAAAGGTATCAAAGTTTTTAAAACTAAATATTTACTGTAAGTATTATTTTTATTATTGCAACACAATAACTGATCAATAAATAGACTTCAGTAAATATTTAGTATTAAAAACTTTGATACCCTTGGAGAAATGAAGCCTTAAAATTTTTACTGCTTTCAGAAAACGGTAAGGTTTAAATGTAATAGACGCTTAATCACGGCTTAATTTTAATTTTAATCGTGAAATAAAATGTAATAACCAGGGTGTTCCATTTAAAAAAATACAACTTTGATATTTTTTATTTATTTGGGACACTCTGTATCTTGTAAAGATATTTTTAAATTGTATCTCTAATAGTCCTTCAACGAACTCAAAACTTACAACTTGTAAAAATCTAATCATTTAGCTACAATACTCCGTGTCGTATGTGGTGAACAACCCTGTAATATAAAAGCTTATAAATGAAAATAGAAACGTTTTATGATAAGTACAAATTACAAAAAATAAATATTCTGAAATATAATGAAAACATACGGACTATTTTTTTAATCCATGCTGAATGTCAGTAGAGAAAAGGAGATAAATAAAAGAGCAACTAACTAATAAAAAAATGTATAGTCTGTCCAATAGGAGGATCCAGGACAGTGACAGTTGTGTCCATGTTGTGTCTGTCATTTTAATTCACAGGCAAATTGAATTTTTTGGACGACCTCTGGCTAGAATCTTTAAGAATCGCGTGATTTGGTGTGACCAATGGCTAAAGAATACAAGGATAAATAACACCAGAGACCAAACTGTTACCATTCTTCCAAACAGTGGCGTGGTACATTTTTTCCTAACATACCCGATTGAAGCGATATTTATATTTTTGATAAATGTTTTGACTACCCCTATGGTGTATGCAGTGGTACCATACTATTTAATTACGAAAAAAACGTATTAAAGTGTTAACAAAAGGTACAAAACTAATATCCACGTATAGCACATATCAAGTACATAAAATATCAGAAACATAATTATCGAATTCAATAAAAAAAAACGCTAAAAAAGGTGGAGGGAACTGTTTATTTTCCTATGAAACGAAACTCCTGGCTCTTTCTTATCATTGCGCCTTTCACACTTGAAAGCTGAACAGATTACCAGTGTAATAAAATTTATACTAAGTTCACTATACACAACAAACTATTAAAAATCGCTAAAATTGTCGCTGATGGCTCATTCGTTACTTCTAAAAAAAATGGCGCCTAACGTAACAAAATCTGCTGCAGCCCATAGATATATAGGCGTGGCATGTCCTTGTATTCTTTACTCACTGGGTGTGACAAATGGTAACGTAAGCACATCTTTGCTGCAATAATTGACGGGGATCTCAATGAGGTGGTGTTTTTGGGCGATTTAGAATAAAATCAACTGAAACATCCCATCAGTTCAATTGTTAGAAGCCACGGAGATCTTGGAATACATAAAAGAAGGTGGTAATTTATAAAATGCCATGACAAATAGCATCAAACAACCAAAGATAACAAATAACAATGGTTTTGATAATGAATAGATAGTTTTAAGATATTTAGACATCATTCTTGAGGTAGTATATAAAAAAATAATTCAAAATTCAAATACTTTAATAAACATAAACGTCATAACACTTCTACATGAAATTCTTTTTTCAACAGTTTTATTTTATAAAAATCAATACAAATTTTTAGTAAAACCAATACAACTGGTTTCAAACTTTTAACACGACATAAATAAACATACAAAACCTATAATTTTATTACATGTAATGTATTAAAAACTCAACAATATATAACTTTAAGCACTATCTACAACAGTCCAGATCTCATCTTTTCTCGCCGACATGTCAACTTTCTCGTTTTTGGATCCCAAAATCACTTTACCGCAATTGAAGGTGTTATCTTCTCCCAAATATTTCTCCACCACATTCTCCAAGTCGCTCTTTTTCACCGCCATTATGTCAGCCCTATGCCTCTGAAGCAGAGCTGGAGTCAACCTCCTGCTGAACTCATCAAATCCTTTAGAACTAGGGGGTATAGGAGCGTCAACTGACTGAAACACTCCCAATTTAGCCTCTAAAAGATCCTGATCAGTCGCATTCTTAAATTCTTTCTTGAACCAATCGTAGGAGCCGTCAAACACGTCAAGCGTCTCGGCTCCGTTGGGATCTCTGTAGCTGTAAAATGCCAAAACTCCATCAGAAGACAAACGCGCCCCAGCGCCGTAAGCTCCTCGTTTTTCCCTGAGTTCCGGATGGAGGTACTTCGAAGATAGGAACCTGGCCAAAATCCTTAATGACGCGTGATCCGGCGTGGCAAACGGTGACGTTAGCACGGCTTTGCTGCAGAAATTCACGGGGATGTTGATGACGTGGTGCTGACAGTTGACGGAGTCGGAAGATGTCCAGGTTTTTCCCGTGATGTAGGAGTTTTCTGGGGAAAGGGTATTGGCGTTGGATGGAAGATGGGATGTGAAGTTTTCGTAAGTGCGCAAAATGGCGGACTGGTTTTCTGGAGACGTATTTATAGCGACCCTGAAAACAAAGGCGATATAAGTAAATCAATACACTTCTGCCGTAGGCAGTGGCGGACTAGCCTGTCGGGGGCCCGGGGCGGCGCACAATGGAACGAGTCCATGTTAAATGTTGGACATGGGGCTAAAATTTTTTTTGGGAAAATGGAAAACTGAATATGGTAGTTTCAAAAAAACAAATGTCAGTCCTCTCTTAAAAACTGATTTTTATAAAACAAAAATGTATTTTGTCGTTTTTACAAAGGTTTAAAATTAACCGTTTTCAAAAATGCTAATTCATGTTGAAAATATTACCACAATTTGATTTTTTTATTGCCCAAGCTGCGGTAGGTTTTTTAAAAAATATTATTTTTTTAATTTAACTCGTTCTTTGTGAATGAATTTTTGGCAAAATTTTGTACATACATCTCATCAATCACCCACTATATATTTTTGAATAAAAAGTTTTGAATTTTTATTATAGATCTAATCATCAAGAAATATGAAGTAAGTGCCGCAAGGTACCATAAAAAGAATACCGGCATATAGTAGACCATTATACCCTTATTATAAACATATATAAAAAAGTTGCCCCAATTTGCCGTTTTTTGAAAAAAAACAAAATTTGAACTATACGATGGATACTATTTCCAAGGGGCTTTTAAGTAATTTACATAGGTTGAACAAGTCTGGCTTTAAAAATATATTGTTATTCCGATATTATTATTAGGTACTATCCTAAATCGTATATTAGTAGATTATATCCAAATCATTGCACCCCCCTCCATTAGGATACATCTACGGTTTTTATTATTATAAGCAGAACTATTAAAAAAATAATTCTCAAATAGGACTTTTTAATGAGAAATTAGTGTTCTATCACTTTACTATAGTTATTTTCCTAACAAATGCGTAAAGTGATACTTTCCCGCACGCCTTATTTGACATTTACCCTGACATTAAGAAATAATGCTAGTCGTTCAAATAATTTTCAAATATGCAGTAATTTAATATGGTTATCACTTGGCTGAAATATTCAAAAACGAAAAGAAAAACATGCTAAACCATTATTTTTTAACATTATTTTGTCCAGAAAACATTAACTTTATCTAAAACTGCGTTTATTAAAATACAAACTTAAAAGTACCTAATTTTTAAAATTGTTCGTCATCTTCAATTTTTATGAAATATCAATTTTGACATTAAATTTGTATATTTCAAAGCATTAGCTTTCCAAAATTACCAAAAATTAATCCAATCCCGATAAAAATCAGCGGACACAATATTGAACAAGTACCACATTTTTGATATTTAGGAAGCTGGCTAAATAGTGAAAATACATGTGACGAAGAAGTAAAGGCAAGAATTGAAATGGCACGTAGAACATTCAAAAAATGGAATACCACGCTCACTAATAGAAACCTATCACCGCAAACCCGATTGCGAACACTACGTTGTTACATATGGTCCACTCTTCTTTACGGATGCGAGACATAGACGCTAAAAGTCGAGAATATAAATAAAATAGAAGCCTTTGAAATGTGGTGCTACCGGAGAATTCTTAAAATTTCTTGGACCGAACATATAAGCAACGAGGAAGTTCTTGGACAGCTGAACAAAGATCGGGAACTGTTAACCACCATCAAGGCCAGAAAGGTGATCTACTTCGGACACATAATGCGTGGCACCAAATATTATATTCCTCGTTTGATTATTCAAGGAAAAGTCGAAGGTAGAAGATGGGTAGGTCGAAAGAAACTGTCATGGCTCAGAAATATACGGAACTGGACCGGTCTGGGGGTGGAGAGGCTGTTTCATGCAGCAGAAGATAGAGAACTCTTCCACGAAATAGTCATGGAGATCGCCAACGCCTGAAGACAGGCACGGCACCGCAAGAAGAAGAAAAATGTTTGAGTAATGAACAATTTTCAAAGGCTCATTTTTGTTGACCACCCTATATAATAAATTATTAATCTATTAAAAATATTTTTTCTAATAAAACTCAAAGTTCCTCCACTCCAAAAAAACTCAAAACGAAAAAATTTGATAACAATGAAGCAAAGTTATGGGCTTTAAAAAAATTGGTTTTGGTAAAACACACTATATTTTTAGGGCGCCCTATATATGGTTTAAGTTATGTAAGGCAACAATTTTTTGTTATAATTTAAGACGTCCCTCTTTACATAATATTACAGTATATATAAATAATTTTAAGTTTTCCAGATTGAAAGTATCAAGTAAAAAACCTAATGTCCAACCGCTCCCATAAGCTCGTTCCACTGTGCGGCGCGGCGAAGCTAAATGTGGCCCCCAGTCTGTTTAGATAATGATAAACTTCTATACACATTTTGTAAAAATTGAATGACGTATGTATAATAGTCGACAAAATTCAAGTATTTATACAGTGTGTCCCAGGCTGAGCCTGCGTTAGGAGTTTCTAGAGAACCACAATATCTAGATATGAGATTTGTGCATATCATTGTTTCATAATGAGATCTATCGATTAAAAATATTTTCAATATGGCGGCACTTTCGGAAGTACCGGAAGTTGACAGCAACTTTCTTATTTTAAATGAGTGACCCCATTTTTTATTACATACTTCTTAAATTCTCTGTAAAATTTTATGAATTTTGATATTAAACAGTCTATACCTAACGTTAACCGTTTTTGAGAAAAAAAAAATATTTATAATTTTTGGAGGAAAAAAACTGCCTGTCAAAAATATTTATATAGCCTAAACGTCAAATTTAGTGATTGCCACAGCCACTGTACCATAAAGAGAAGATTTATTTTAGGTATATATGTCTAGTTAAAACGTAACGAATTGGAAAACCTTTTCACTAGTGAAATAAAAAAGTGGGTTTCCATTTGAAAAAAAATTATTTATGATAATTTTTTAATCGCTCAATTCCATGAGAGCTACCGCCATTATTATATGACATTTGAACAATTTAATTTTTGAAATAAATAGCCACGTGTCTTTTCTTTACGTCACAGGGGCTGTGATAATCACTAAATTTGACAAGTATTTATACGGTAATAATCACTAAATTTGTATATACTATATACAAGTATTAAGGCTGTACAAATTTTTTTGACAGGTAGTTTGTTTCGTCCAAAAATTTTAAATATTTTTTTCTCAAAAATGCTTCCAGGGAAATACCACGACAAAATATCGCGATTTTGTAAGTCCTCCAAGATTCGAGGGGCCCCTTCGCTGTCTCAGGCCCGTGACCCCCGTTATACTAAAGATTTCACTGCTCATCATCAGTAATGAAGCTAGAATATAAGTTATGTTGTGCATTGGTTGTAATTTAAAATGTTTATTTACTAAAAATTAATAATGAAACCATTAAAAAATAACTTAAAAGCTAAAATAAATAAATTCAGTCTCAAAATATATAAAAAATAATAATTATTCCATATTTTAAACAAAGAAAATTAGCCCTTGATCTAATTTCCTAAATAGAAAATGCCATTGGCAATTACTGGGGCCTAATAATTGATAATTAAGTAAATATCTGCTTCTATTTATACTGTTTATAGTTGGCGTATACGTATGGTTTGCATACTCCACCTACAAACTGCTTTATAACTACTGAACACATATTGGTCTTGTTTGCCAGTTAAATAAAAAATTACTTATTAAGATTTGGACGCCCCCTAAAAGACGGGGCCCGGGGCGGACCGCCCCTTCCGCCCCCCCCCTAATCCGCCACTGGCCGTAGGTATGTTGCTTTCGACAGTCACACTGTCATATAAAAAACTAAATTGTGGTTTATCGCTAAAAATTAAAGGAATCCTTACTAAAATTATAAACGCGAAAGTTATTATTATTATTATTACAAAAATCAACAGCAGGCGGGTAAAACCCGATGAGACTATTGAATCACATAATCACATTTATCTATCACATTTGTAAAAATAAATAAATAAATATTGCACTGCGTACATTCAATTAAAAAACAAATTACAAATCAAAATTAACATCACAGTTTACGATCACATGTAGTGAATAAAAAGGTTGTTCCAGCTCTTCATTTCCACATCACAAGTCTATTCTTAAATGTATAGACACTTGTAGCATTCACTGTATCATACTGGAGCCTGTTCCAGCTATACACTACTCTATTTGTAATAAAGTTCCGCCTGAAGGGCTTATTACAGCGTTCTTTATCCAATTTTTTGTTATGTCCCCTACGGTTGTGCGTTTCACTGATATAGAAGATGTTCATGACGCATCCATAGTAGCCACTTGTAATCTTGAATGTCTCGATGAGATCGCCACGAATTCTCCGTTCACGAAGAGTTGTTAGACCAAGCCTTTGCAGTCGATTCTCGTATGGCAAATTCCTCATCTCCAAAGGAATCTTAGTGACCCTCGGCTGAACACGCTCAAGCATTTCAATGTCCTTGACATAATAGGGGTTCCATATGCATTGTGCATATTCAGTCTTTGGTCTAATGTATGACTTATACAACTTGAGTATCATCTCGCCTGATTTGTTTGCAAATGCTGCTTTTATTAAGTAGATCATTGTATTGTCTTGTTTAACTATGCGATTTATATGGTATTCCCACTTCAGATTTTCCGCAATTTCAATGCCTAGGTCTTTTTGATGTTGCACACTTGAGACTTCTGTCTGCTCCAGATAGTATCGTTGATGTGAGTTATTAGGGCCAATGTGGAGAATGGTGCATTTTGAGTTGTTCAGTGGCATTTTCCAGATATTCGTCCACGATTTAATGGTTGTTAAGTCTTCTTGGAGCAATTTTTTTTTCTGTTACGGGGTTGCAGTACACATTTGTATCGTCGGCGAAGGATGTATAGTTGGTTTTAAGGGTAGAGTATAAGTCACTCAAGTAAATAATAAATAGTAGCGGGCCCAATACTGAGCCTTGTGGCACACCACTGTGAACCAAGTATTCGTCAGAAAGTGCTGATCCCACACGCACCTGGAAAGTACGGTCTCGCAAAAATGAGTTTATCAATGTCAAGTTTGTTAAGCAGTTTTTTGTCCGTTAGGCAAATTTGTTTATTACTAAACCACTGTTGACAATTAGTAGTCGAGTAAGTCGAGCCCAGCCGTACCATGCTTTTCTCGAAGGTATTAGCGGCACTTTTGACCACCCTGTAACTTCGTTGTGAATAAAGCAAGAATATTAATTTTCACTACACTTAAAGACATACTATAGCTGGCTAGGTTATCAAAATATCTAGTAATTATCTCTCATAGTTTATGAATTATCGCTTGTCTCAAATTTCTTTAATTTCGACACTGACTCACTGACAGATCATCAAAATTCTAAGGTACTTCTAGATGTGTCACAAACTCCAAATTTAGAATTTTAGGTAGCTTTAAGCTTATAACGAAAGGAAAAAATGAAAAATCTCGAAATATCCTTACGGATTAAAAGTTACCTGTCTAGCCGCTACCGGTAGCTGGCTTTCCAATCGAGAAAAAGATAGAAAACTAGAATTGATCGGAGCGGTCTCTTCTGATTTTATTTATATATCAATGTACCAACAATAATTCAAGGATTATGATTTTATTCTAGTCAGACTATAACTTGTAATGAAGTCCCTATTTATTTTTTTAGTTTAATATGTTAAATGCTATGCTTCAAAATATTTCGACCAAGGCTTGATAGCGCGGTGGCAAAGTATTCCGCTAGTTCGGAAGGCCGAACTCGGGAGGCTCGAGTTCGAGGCTGCATTGGGGCATAATTTTTTTTATTTTATTTTCGTTAATATTCTGATTGTAAAATATTAAATACATATCTTAAACAATAATTCACGGATTTATCTCTTATACTTTTCGAAATAAAAAATAAAATGTGTGCACTGTTCGGTTTTTATATGATTCAAAATAAAAAATATATAAATTGTAAAATTAGTAATTTTTTAATGACCATAATGCGTTCTTTCAAAATCATGGAACAACTAAATCATTTCCATAGATCCAGTGACGTACCGTGACTTTGAATTTTGAGACCAAAAACTGAAACAATAATTTGTCAAAAAAATCATATTACAGCTATATGTTTTATTTTGCATAAAAATGTTAACTAATAAGTTAGAATAATTATAACTCTTCCCTAACTAAGTGGTTTTATCGGTAAATTTAACTAAAGCTAAGTACAACACAAATCTTAAATACGTGTACTATTATAACAACAAATACATCGTAAAAGACTATTTTGGTAGCATTCTGAACTAGAATTCAAGTTCAGAAAATCACATTTTAAAAAATAATTTATAGGAAAAAAGTTAATTCAGTTAATATTAATTTTTGTATACTGCTTAGATTTATCTGGTCTTCTATCATATATTTTGGAAATTAGAGAATTACCTGAAGATTTTCATCTAAAAATTGGCATTGATAGTGGTAGTGGATCACTTAAAGTTTGTCTGAATGGGCTCCCTGAAAATGATCCCGAATATTTCAAGAAATATAAAAGTGCTGGAATTAATAAACTATTCATAATTAGGACCAAAGTTTTCTGAATATTATGCTAACATTAAAAGCCTCTTTGAGACGTTAGATCTGCAGTCCATATGTCGAATTTGTTCCTATACTTTTGCCGCTGACTTTAAGCTTATTATGATTCTCCTTGGTCTTCAGTCAAATTCATCCACTCACACTTGCCCATGGTGTGATGTAAATGTATAAAGGAAATGGAAATTAAAGGATCATTCAGAACTATCAAAAGTATTACAGAAAATACAAATTTATGGCAACAATCTAGAGGAAATATAACAAAAGCCAAAGATTTTAGTAAGAGTTTTTTTTTAAATATTTTTTTTTTGTATTTTTTAAACTGTTGTTCAATGAACCATATAAAAAAGGGCAATTATTTTTTAGAAAACTGTATAAACATACATTTAATCATTGGCGACGAAGGAGCACCTGTCTTAAAGTATATTCCCCCTCCTGAGCTTCACCTTTTGTTAAGTGTGGTTCAAAAACTATTTGATTGTCTTGAATTGGAGGATACCAATGTTGCAACAGAATGGATAAAAAAAAAGCAGGATTGAAACTAGATCATTATGAAAAATGTAACGGAAATAACGCCATAAATTTTTAAAGAAAGTGGATATTTTGAAGACGATATCGCCCGGTAAAGAATCCTATTCAAAGTTTTAAGAAGCAAAAACCTAAACATTTTTTATTTAGGAAATAAATATATTGCAGTGTTTTCTGCATTCAATCAAGTAGTTTCGGGTTGTTTTGGTCAAGCACTAAACAAACATTTTGAACATGACATCGAACAATTTAGATTGGAAATACTCAACTTAAGGTAGTAAGATAACTCCAAAGATTCATGCAATTCTGCATCATGTGCCATAGTTTATAAAAGCAAATCATAGAGCTCTAGGATTTTACTCGGAACAAGCATCTGAGCAGGTTCATTTTTCCTTTAAATTATTTTCTAAAAAGTTTAACTTGAATCCTCGTTCAGAATGCTACCAAAATAGTCTTTTACGATGTATTTGTAGTTATAATATTCCACGTATTTAAGATTTGTGTTGTACTTAGCTTTAGTTAAATTTAGCGATAAAACCACTTAGTTAGGAAAGAAATATAATTATTCTAACTTATTAGTTAACATTTTTATGCAAAATAAAACATATAGCTGTAATATGATTTTTTTGACAAATTATTTGTCAGTTTTTGGTCTCAAAATTCAAAGTCACGGTACGTCACTGGATCTATGGAAATGATTTAGTTGTTCGATGATTTTGAAAGAACGCATTATGGCCATTAAAAAATTACTAATTTTACAATTTATATATTTTTTATTTTGAATCATATAAAAACCAAACAGTGGTGTGTAAAATTGACAAAAAAATAATTTTGAACAAGCATTGGTAAAATCCTGAATTGAACATTTTTAAAGTTGATATTTGAGTTATAACGAAAGTCGGAAACACAAGTCTCGGAAACACAAGAAAACTAGAATTAATTCAATTGATATTATCTGACTTTAATTAATTATACGATAATTCAAAGTTTATGAACTAGTCAAACTTTTTTAATATTATTTTGAATGACCCGAAAAAAAATAGAAGGATAACCTACAAAAAGAAATAAGATCCCATCCAAAAAAAAATGCCAAGTCTCGCAACACAATTCCTCCGCTATAAAAAGTTGTGAGATCTCATGTAAAACCAAGTCAGTTTTTTTATTTAGTCTCTCTTTACGCACCTATTCAACAATTTTGATATAAATTGTTAGTATCAATATTAGTCACCCTTATTTCTATAATAATTATAATGACTTGGCAATTGCACGATATGATACCGTGCTGGCAACTGTTCCTTTTGGGTCGGCATTTACATGTGTGGAAGTAAATCGCATAGGGATCTTATTAAGTCGGAGTGAGAGAAATGCGACCGACAGACGCGACGCGCGACGGTGTGCTGTTGCGGCGTTGCCGATACGCCTTTCCCTATCAAGTAAAGTAAAATCACGATCGCAAACCGCTTATTTTTAAAAGACTTTTTTTTCAAGAGATAACTAGATAAAATCATTAGACATGTTTCTGAGCATCTGAAATGGAATTATAAGGATATCGTTAGGGTGTCATTTTTTTTATAACGAGAAAATGTCAGTAATCGCGATAATTTAAAAACTCAACTTTTTAACACATAACAGGCCATAAATTAAGAACCACTTTAGATATTGAAACTTTTTTTATTTTCAAGATCGGATATTTTACAATATGTTTACATAAGAAAAATTCGATAAGGTTTTTTTTCCATTCAAAAATTGTAAACAATCCATCCATTTACTTTTAGAGCATAGCAATTTTCAGCAATTGTGTAATTTTTTTATTGATAAAGATTTTCACATACTGTCTACAAAGGAAATACAGCAGAAATATTAACAAAGTTCTTGAAAAAACTACAATCTATTATTTCTAATAGATTTCGAGATATCGATTTTTGAATTCATAATTCTAATAGCGCGACCACTATCGAACACCCACGCAATTCCACTTATTTTTACCAAAAATGCAAGTGTTTCTAGCTTGCACTTAAAAAAATTCAAGCTATAGGGAAAATTACAACGACTCGTTAATAAATAAACAAATTAAGTATCACGAGACGTAATTAAATCGTGAAACTGAACGCATGACGTACACCTTTCCCTAGAACTTTAAGTACTGACAGAGGTATTGATTGGGTCGACCGGTCAACTGCGACAAATCTGCTATATCCCCTTCCACGTCTCTTAGCGATGTGCACAGTTTCTCGGTTTATTTCATACGTTTGGCAACGTGTTTACTGTCCTCTTTTTGTTCAGTACGTTATAAACGCATTGTACTCTTCTTACGTACGGATATCTCGACCCAAGACTATCCTTTGCCAGCCCTTAGTATTCTATAGTAATTAAAAAACTTTATTCTTAAGTGCACCGTTTATTAGATTTACTTAGTAATCGAAATAGTAGATTATTCTTTTTTATAATTATGGTGCCGTGCATGCAATTGCCAAGTCATTATAATTATTATAAAAATAAGGATGACTAATATTGATACTAACAATTTATATCAAAATTGTTGAATAGGTGCTTAGAGACAAAATAAAATAAATAACTTTTTATAGTGGAGGAATTGTGTTGCGAGACTTGGCATTTTTTTACATTCTATGTTTTTGATGGGATTGTATTTTTAGAAAAGATAATTTTAAAAAGATATACTAACCTCATTTTTCGCTTGTCAAACAGCGTCCTGGCAATGTCCAGAATTCCTTCCAGCATAGCGCTATAATTTGACGTCTGAATCAGCCCCTTCATGTAGGCGATATGCTGAAGGCCGGACAGTAGCTCCACCTGGTAGGACGAAGCCGAAACTAAGCTCGAGGCTGCCTGCATAGCGTAGACGTGACCGGAATCGGCAATGCCATGTGTCAAGTTAGCCATATATAATTGTACCAACATTTTAAACCTGAAATTTAGAAAATTCAATATCGTCAGTAAAACGTGATAACCTGCTAACTCCATTTTTTATGTTAATACTTTTTTTATACCATTAGAAAGAGAAAAAAATACTCTATAAGTAGGAAAAGCAAATGCATTTTTTCCCATTCAAAAAAATTTGCTATTTTGACACAATACTGCTAACTCCCAGTAATCTGAAATAGCCACCGAAATGCTGCTATCTCCGTAATTTCCCATATGATCACGTTAAAGCAACCACACGGATTCTTACTCGTCTGTTTCTTTAGTAGAGTACGTCGATCCAGGGTCGCACTAGGCCAAAGGGGCCCGGGTGGCAATGTAAGGAGAGGCCCGTGTGGATATTTTTGCGTATTTTTTCGCCTTAGGTTTTGGTCAATTTTTCCCTATTATATACAGGGTGAGTCTTAAATAAGTGCAAATATATTTAGGGGTAGTATATTTCGACCCAAGAAACACGATTATGAGGTTTTTTTGCGCGAAATTTATTTTTTGAATATTTGGAATTTTTTAAAAAAAAATGTTTAAAGTTTTTTTAATTTTTATTTTAAAAACATACTTTGTTTGTAATATGGCAACATTGGTAGTAGATTAAATTTACAAGAAAGAAAATCGAGTGATATTATAAATATATATTACAGTTGAGGGTTGGAACCTTTGGTGTTACACAGCAAAATAAAAACACTAAATCATCACAATACACCAAAACACTTTTACTTTTACACTGGACGCGCGTTTCGCTAACCATCTTAGCATCATCAGCAGATGATTATAAACTAAAGATTCAGTTCCGTTGACCGTGAAACCATCGAAGATTACAGTTGAGGGTTGGAACCTTTGGTGTTACACAGCAAAATAAAAACACTAAATCATCACAATACATCAAAACACTTTTACTTTTACACTGGACGCGCGTTTCGCTAACCATGTTAGCATCATCAGCAGATGATTATAAACCCTAAAGACTATAAAAAACTCTAAAAACTATAAAGAGTTTATAATCATCTGCTGATGATGCTAACATGGTTGGCGAAACGCGCGTCCAGTATAAAAGTAAAAGTGTTTTGGTGTATTGTGGTGATTTAGTGTTTTTATTTTGCGATAAATATATAGTTATGGATATCATATTTTTTAAATTTAATTGATTATTTCTAAATCTGTTTGGGTAATATTCAATTCCATATTCAAAATTTCAAAAAATAAAGGTTGCTATCTCCAGAAATATAATTTTATTTCTTATTTCTGCAAAACGAATATCTGCTATCTCCCTATTGTGTCTGAAAAAAATTAAGTAACAGGAAATATTGAGTTTTATTGTTCCCCAGCAAATAAAAAGCTTATTTCTTTATCATATTAACGCATGAAAATACTTCCTACATGTGTACATATGTTTTTGTACTGTTTTTTTGCTCTCCTGTAAAATTAGGAATAATGGAGTTAGCAGTTTATCACATTTCACCGACGATATGTTCTGGGATTATCTATACAGGATGGTCCGAACTGTATTGCGGAAACTTCGGCAGCATATTGTGCACATAAAAATAAGTAATAAAGTTTGTATAAACATATGTTCTAAAATGCTTCCTTTCGGAGATACAGGATGTAGAACTTTCAGTTTTATTTCGATTTTTGCCTAATATCTAATTTCTGAAGTAGTTTGGGTATTTGGATGAAAATTAGTATCTGGGAGTTTTTTAACATGAGAAATTTGATTTCGATGTCAATATGACTCCTACTTGTAGAGGGCGCCACCTACATCTTTTTTAACTATTTTGAAGAATACTAACTTTTCGTCCGTCCCTGTATTATACTACTGAGTGAGTGTGAGTTTACTATGCCTTTCAATCTTTCATAGTTATCAAAAACAATTCATTGGAGATTAATAAATATAAAATCAATAAATACAGGGTTGTTCACCACATACGACACGGAGTATTGTAGTTAAATGTTTAGATTTTTACAAATTGTAAGTTTTGGGTTCGTTGAAGAACTATTAGAGCTACAATTTAAAAATATTTTTACAAGATACAGAGTGTCCCAAATAAATTAAAAAATCAAAGTTGTATTTTTTTTAAATGGAACACCCTATATATTATTACATTTTTAGTTTCTACGATTACAATAAAGGTAAATTTGATTAAGGTTTATTACACTTAAACCTTACCGTTTTCGAAATATTTTAAATTTTGTGAAATTGCAGTAAACATTTTTAGGCTTCATTTCTCCAAGGGTATCAAAGTTTTTGATACTAAATATTTACTGAAGTCTATTTATTCAAAGTTATATATTCGAAGTCAGTTATTGTGTTGCAATAATAAAATTAATACTACCTCATACAAAGTGTCTAAAAATTTATTTTAAATTATTTCTCGCTTTAAACGGCAATAACTTGTTTAATTTAAATGGAACGCCTTGTATATTTTAGGAGAATCAGATGCACAATTTAATTGTCTATCAAATTGTATTATACCTATCCCTTTACCTATCCCTTTTTATTTTTACCTATCCCTTCAAGTTTTCGTAGAAAATGCATTTTCTTATAATTTAGACCTCATTTATCAATACACCCATGGAATATTGACATTTTAGATTGTTTTTAAAGGAACAAATGTACAAAATGTACAGGCTAGTAATATTATCGTTTTTAGCAAAATGATAATATTACTAGCCGATTTGTATGCAAAAAGAAACTATCTAAATCTTTATAAAAGAGTATACCATTAATTAAATATACTACCACCATTATTTCCGTCCAAATACTAATTAATTACATACTTAATTATGTTCGTTAATAATTTTTTCTAAATAAATGTGGATTTGAAGCAGAAATCAATATAATAATAAGTTATGAAAATGAATGTCTCTGTTGTTATAAATAAGCATTTGTCAAAAAATGAAATACCGTATGATCGAATAAAAACGGCGTCAGCGATGGCTATGAAATGAAGATCGCTGTCATTTTATATGTAAATTTATATAGGAAATGCCATCGATCGTCATTTCCAAGCCAACTGGACGCCGTTTTTATTCGATCATACGGTATAATTTTTAAGGTGTTCCATGGGTGTTACTTTTTAGCACACTGTCTAATACACAAACAAAATTCAGTTTTTTAGTATATGGAGCAATTATTATTAATCAACGCAAACAGTCAATTAATGTAGTTTGAATACTGCAATCATATTAATTGGTCCTCTTTAACAAATATTTAAACAGTTTTTTTTATTTTTTAATGAAATAAACAAACTATATCGACAATATTAATATCTGTACTCTTTAAAAATTTGGTACATCATAAAAAATAACCTAAAATGTCAGTATTCCATGGGTATATTGATAAATGAGTTTTAAATTACAAGAAAATGCATTTTCTACAGAAACTTGAAGAGATAGGTAAAAAATGGTATAATACAATTTGATAGAAAATTAAATTGTGCATCTGATTCTCATAAAATATACAGAATGTTCCATTTAAATTAAACAAGTTATTGCCGTTTAAAGCTAGTAATTATTTAAAATAAAATTTTAGACACTCTGTATAAGGCATTATATTTTTTATTATTGCAACACAATAACTGATCAATAAATAAACTTCAGTAAATATTTAATATTAAAAACTTTGATACCCTTGAAGAAATGAAGCCTTAAAATTTTGACTGCAATTTCACAAAATTGAAAATATTTCAAAAACGGTAAGGTTTAAGTGTAGTTAACCTTTATCAAATATACCTTTATTTCAATCGTAGAAACTAAAAATGTAATAATATACAGGGTGTTCGATTTAAAAAAAACAACTTTGATATTTTTTATTTATTTGGGACACTCTGTATCTTGTAAACATATTTTTTAAATTGTAGCGCTAATAGTACTTCAACGAACCCAAAACTTACAATTTGTAAAAATCTAATCGTTTAGCTACAATACTCCGTGTTGTATGTGGTGAACAACCCTGTATAATTATTAATAATTATTAACTCACCTATCTACGTCGGCCAATTTCGATATGGTGAAAACCTGCTGCCACAAATCCCACATGTTCTCCACATTCTTCTCCAAGCAATGACTAGAAATGTACACTCCAGGCTCATATGTATGCAAGTGATACAAACTTTCAGCAATGTGAGCCATAAAATTTAATCCAGCAGTTTTCCTGTTCATCAAACTCTCAAATTCCTTATAATTCAACTGGTCCGTCCCCAATTTGTTTATTATATAGCAAAATAACGGTAAAAGCATTTGTTGTTCTTGAGATAACTCTGTAGTATTCAATATCGATTTGAAATAAACTATCCCGTTTGAATTTACTTTGTTAATTTGAGTGTGTACATTGTTTATACTAACAATAACTTTACTGACTTTCTCTATGTCACAACTTATATCATCCATGACAAGAGTAGGTAACAAGTTAGTGTTCTGAGTCGCTTCTTGTAGTTCCTTCAATTTCAAACCGTTCTCGTATATTTCTTTCTTATCTTTATCTCCTAAACCTCTTGTTTTGTTCTTTAACAATTCCGCCTCAGTTTTTTCCTGTTTACTTTCATATTCTTTATCAGGACTCATAGTCAGCACTAGCTTATGTTTGTTTTCTTTAAAGTACTTCTTCACAACCTCTTGTAAGTAATGGGGATTACTTTTAAGTTCATTCTTCAACCGATCAATCACTTTGTTTACTTCCAAACCAGAAATAACATCAGTGGAATGATTCCAAAGAGGGGAAAGGTGAAACAGCAAATTCAATCCAAAGTTTCTTGTTTCGTGTTTCAAAGCAATCTCAACTGAATGCAACACAGATTCTATATGATCAGGAGCAAATCCGTTTTCAATTACCTCATCAATTGTTTTGTTAAAAATGTCTTCGACTTTTTCAAAATCTTCTTTCTTCAGACCTTTTAAACTTATCGTGAATACAGTGTCTCTGGATTGTGTATCTAGGCCTGCAGATGGAGTAAATCCACTTGAAAAGTTTGGTTCTATAAGACTTTTATAAAATGCAGAGTTGCAGCCTTTTAGAAGGAGATCAGTAAGAAACTGCATAAGGAAAGTTTCGTAAACATCTGTACAATCAGACAATAACAAAGATATAGCAATATAGTTCTGTTTTTCTATAGGTTCCTCCATTGAATTATATCTACAACTTATATGTTCTTTTATAGGTTCACTCCATCGTTTCTGTTTGGGTACAACAGTGTTACTTGGTTGGGAATAAGCATATTTTGAAAAGTATTCTTCGTTTATGTATTCTAAAGAAGGTAGTAAAGGAAAATTACCATAAGATAAGCATCTGCAATTACTAGGATGATAGTGTTCTTTATGAAACTGTTTGAGACCTTCCCATGTAAGATTTGGTATGTCTTTAGGATCTCCCCCTGACACAACACCATAAGTGTGATCAGGCAATATAGAATTTTGCAATTTCTGACAAAATATATTTTCATTTTCTGCAAACACTCCTTTCATTTCATTATACACAACTCCTTTTATAATCAACTTTGATTTTATATCGTTAACATCTTCATTTTCCAGCCGCCAACCTTCTTGCATAAAGTCAGTTTTAGCTAATTGGGGATTAAATACGGCATCTAAATAAATCTTCTGTAAGTTTATGTAGTCCGAATAGTTCTGAGTGCTGAAGGGATAAATGGTATAATCTGAACCAGTCATGGCATTCATAAATGTTGCTAAAGATCGATTTAGCATTTTGAAAAAAGGATCCCTCACAGGAAACATTTCGGAACCACACAAAACTGTATGTTCTAATATATGGGGTTTTCCCGTACTATCCTTTGGTGTAGTTCGAAAATTAACTGAGAATAAGTTATTTGAATCATCTCTATATAAATGTAAATATTCAGCTTTGGTTTTTTCATGTTCTAGGTATATAGCTCTAATCCTAAACTCATCAATATCCTTTATTTTCTTTACCAAAAAACCATGGAGTCTGTCATTAACTGCAATATTATCTAAATCTGACACACATTCTGAATTTTTGGCTTGTTTAATCACTTGTGACAAGGCCCGTGAATATTTCTTGTACTGTGCTGTATTGCGCCACATGTTCAATCTAAAACAAAATATCCTTGTTACAGGCAGGTAAAGTTTAGTTGATAATGAGGATTGCCAGATTAAATTAACGTATAAAAAAATATTTCTAACTACTTACTTTAGATAGGGTTGCAAAAATAATCTGACAATCCTTTAAGGTTTAACTTTGAGGTTTAACAAAGGTGGTGCCTAAAAAGTCATATGAAAATTTCTTAAAATTATATAAAACATTATAACTAGACTTTTAAACTTACCAACAGTAAGAAATCACAAAACTAAACACAAAAAAGACCGTTTTATAGACAAAAATTGAAATTTCAGTTAAATTTTAGATCAATAAAACACACATGATAATATTGTGTAATGTTTAAATAGCTGACAACAAGTAATATCATAAAAACATTTCAAATAGGGATAAAAACTGTTTCATATTTCAAAACAGCTATTGAAAACCTTTAGAAAATTATAAATACAATATATCAATATATATAAAAAATTCTAACCTGAAAATCGGCTTCCGCCAGCTATTGAACAGTTTTAAGAATATCAACTTACTTTCGGAACTTTATTAACCAGTATCCTTAGAACAATACAATCTCACTTAATATTCCACTTTGTTTATATAAATTATTAATAAATTAACTCTGCCGTATTTTACTTTTAGTAATTTCAATTTCAGAGGCAATTTAAAAAATCGCTAAAAAAAAATTGTGCCCACAGATTGAGCCAGTGCCTTCTATTAAAAGATCAGCCTACGGGCGTTGCTACGGGCGAGATTTATGACGTCACGCTACTTAGATATAACGGATTAATAAATATGTTGTAGAATATATGGAAAACATAATTATTCCTCAGATTTTTGGTTTGTATTTTAAAAATGATATATCTTGAAATATGATATAATGAACTAAATAAAATATACATAATATACAGTTAATAACTACAACATATATACCTATTTATAGTAATAAATACTTTGGCAAATAAACTATGAACCATACAAATGCAGCAAATGTTTTACAATGTACAAATAATGTATAGGTACATAAGATAATGGGTAAAATGTAAATATATTTTAAATTTTGGGGTTTGAAAATCGATCTAATTTAACAAAAAACATTTAATATCTACTAATAGTGATGTATTATTATTTGCATTCACAAAATTTATATGTATACTTTGCAAGTATCAATGTTCGAAAATTATATTTACAAATAATACAATATTATCTAAAAAGACGTCAGCGATGGTTATGAAATGAAGATCGCTGGCATTTTATATGTTAAATTATTCTAAAATTTTTGATTTTCTGGGATTTTTAGGTTCGGGAAAAACGCTGATTAAGTTTTCATTTGGGTTTTCATTATTTTTATTTGGTTTAAAAAACGTTTCGGCTAACTATAGCCTTTCACAGTGTTGTGTCATATGAAAAATAATGTCGAATATAATCCAAAAATTACATATACAATATAATTCACACCTCATAATGTTTACTGCAATTAATAAACTAATATAAACTTATCAAAAAAGATGACCACATATTTTTTAAAATTATTATTCTTAACACTAAAATTATCTACATTGACTATGGAGTACGCAGTAAACATTATGTGCTTGGTGTGAATATTTTATATGCAATTTTGGATTATATTCGACACTATTTTTTTCATATGACACAACACTGATGGAGGCTATAATGTTAGCCGAACCGTTTTTTTAAACCAAATAAAAATAACGAAAACCCAAATGAAAATCAATCAGCGTTTTTCGAACCTAAATTCCAAGAAAATCAAAAATTTAGAATATTTAGAATCAAGGTTCAAGAATATCAAATTTTCCAAGATTGTAAAATTCTAGTTAATTATTTTATGTGTACAGTTATTTAGGGAATGTCATCGATGTTCATTTCCAAGCCAACTAGACGCCGATTTTTTCGATGATACGGTATAATTCTTACGTAAAATGTAAATAACATTAGACCAATTAAAACAAAGAAATATGAATTTCTTAGTATATTTTTAGTAACACCTTTATTCTTAAAACTTAATTTTGTATTGCAAATATACCAATTTTATTGTTATTTTATTCATATTGTATTCAGCCATCACTTAAATATTTTATATTAATTTGGTATTATAAATAATCAACACTATTCAGTAAAAATTACTGAACAAATATATGTTATGCTTTACATACATTATATTATCAAACAAAAACACATTCTTCTTTTAAACTTTATCATTCTTGTCTTTACAAAAATCTTTTTTAATTTTGAACTCAAAATAATAATCTTTTTCATGATCTTTAATACACATATTCTTTATTTTTCCCTAGATCATAATACCTACTTACGTGTTTGAATCTATCGAAGTTGAACCAACAACACTTGGAGTGGAGATTCCACAATAAGAATAAAATTAACATAATTGTTCAGTTTTCTTTAATACCATCCTGGGAGAATATCATTTTTAAGTTTATTAAAGATATTTTCAATAGAATTGTCTTGATTTATAACTCGTACCCACTTTTCTTGCTCTTCTGAATACTTTAAGCTGCCTAGTATAACTATCCTTTCCACCAGGAACATAACAAAGATGAGGCATAGCACCAAAAAACACTCCACTTAAGCTTTATTGATGAATTGTTAGAGTCTTAAAAAACACACACAAAAATCACGATAAATAAAAAATTTATGGGCACTTTTAGGTTAAAGCACTTAACAAAACGTGTAATATTTCGTGTTTTTTTATGAGAAACAGAGTGACCATCATAGCGACCATATATCTGGTAGTACTTTATGTCACTTAAACACCAAAATAATTAGTTTTTTGCACTACAATAACAAATAATACTAAAAATCAACCGACAAAATATGAATACAGAATCTAACCCAATATCTAAGTATGTACAGCTGATGAAGTAAACAAAAGTCCGCCCGTAGGCTGATCTTTTAATAGAAGGCACTGATTGAGCCCCATCTCTACTCTACAATGTTGCCGGATTAACAAATCGAAAATCACTGTTACCAGCATGGTTGCCAGATTGAACAAAAAATCCTTTAAATAGAAAAATTACAAGTAGGTGTTTTCTGTTATATATCCATGTTTTCATCTTTGAATAAAATTAAAATAATTAAGGAGGAAGCATATCAAAAGACGATAATGGTGTGTTTTTTAACTGACCCATAGAACTGGCCAACCTAAGACAGAGTACGTTGGTACGCAAAACTCTGCTTTAAGCCTAGTTCATGCACTTGCGAATTACGATTTACGACTTGCGAAATGCGTTCTGTTAGCGTTCTGATTGGTCGCCTTCAAAGGACACCTTAAAAGCGTCCAATTCCAAGGAAAACAGAACGCATTTCGCAATTCGTAAATCGCAATTCCATAGAAAACGCAATTCGCAAGTGCCTGAACTAGGTTTTAGCCATGTTTTAGCAAGCTTTAGACGTTTATTTGCTACATTTGCGCACAGATGCTACGCATGCCCAAATCCTCAATGTTGCCAAATTGATAATTATTTTCGAATTATTCTCAGTAGAAAACAGGTATTTTTAATAGTTTCCAGAGTTATTGTATTATTATTTAAAAATAACTGTTTCTAGAATTTTTTTCTTACAATTCTGAAATAAGAAGTAATTTTCATTTTAACATTGAAAATGTTTCTGTTATCCTATATAAGGGACCCCAAATCGAATTAAAATCATAGTATAAGGAAACTAGTAGTTTTACTCCTTGTCAAATCCTTTGTTCTTTTTCTGCCACTTTATATGACCTTGTTCTCGCCTCCCGTGACCACTGATTTAGCTGTATAGTCGTGATCTATTAACTAGGCAAAGTATAGTCGTGGCACTCGCCATAGTTTCAGAGATATGTATTTAGGAAAATATGAGTTTACAATAAAATAAAATAAAAAAATTGATCATCGAGTAAAAACTTGCTTGAAAACAGAATATTTTCACATTTCGCGTAGGTAAAAATTCTTCTGTATCTGAAAATCTTCTGATTGGAAGAAATGCGGAAAAAATATATAATGACATATTTTTATATTATTACGAGGGGTGTCTCACTACTGGAATTACATGTACATTTTCTTGGCAGTCGCTGGCAGTCATTGGCAGTCTTATGGCAGTTGCCTATAATAATTACATCCGCATTCTCTGCAAAGCATAGGCAGTCTTCTTCGCAGGCATTGGCAGTCGTTTGGCGGTAAAGTGATATTTTGGCAGTACATGTACATTTTCTGCCCAAGTGAGACACCCCTCGTATTATTATCTATTTCAGAGATTTTCTACAACTTTTTTTTGATTTAAAACAAGTTTAATTTTCTGTACATAACTGGATTCGGCATAAAATTCTGCATATAGTACACCGTCTTTATTTAAGGTACACTGCGGTGTGGCCATTCTATTTCTTATTTACTAAAACTTTGGTTAAAAACATTATATACGAAAGGTGGTAAAAAACTAGAGTGAATATAACTTTATTAATACTTAGCTATGTTTTCTTAAACACGAAGGACACCAGAATAAATTCGTGTAGAAAAATTTACTTTATCGTATACAGGATATTTTTTAAGGCGTCACCAAAATCGTAATATTTAAAATATTGGATCTCATTTCTTTTAAATGCAACACCTTGTATATAATTTTTCTTTCAGATGTAGAATTAAAAGGTAAATATTTTTTGTATTTAAAGTGTTCTTAAATTTTTAGCCGTTTTGCAAATATTTTCTGTATTTCATTATATATGGGATTTCCAACGATAAAATATCAGACAAAGATCATATTAGGTGGCTTTGATAAAAATTTACTGTTTAAAGAGCCATATGTAATATAATACCGCGAATATCTGCGAAACCGTTAAAAATTCAGAAACCCTTTAAATAAAAAAATGTTCACTTTTTAATTCTGCATCTGACAGAAAAATAATATACAGAATGTGGCATTTAAAAAAATTGAGATATACCATTTTAAGTATTCCGATTTTGGTGACGCCATAAAAAATACCCTATACAGGGTGTCCCAGAAATGAGTGCGTAATAAATGAGGCTCCAACACAGCAGCTATGCTATCCGGTGAAATAATCCTCTTTCAACGGTAAAATGAGTGCGAAATGGAATAATATATATATAGAATGATGTAAAATAATTTAAAAAAAATAAAACTAACTTTACCATAACTTTTTTTGTGACACCCTGTATATAACAAAATATTTTAGGATACGCCCCTTTATAAACCTTGAAACATATGAATAAAACTTTTTTCACATCTTCGACAACGACGACGATATTGGACTTCCTTGCACTAATGGGCCACCCTGTATATTTAAGGTGGTTTAAAGCTAGGTGTGGCACTTTTCTTCCTTCAAATATAAACTCAATATTTTGTCTATAATATTTTGAATGTTGTTATATTACGACCACTTATAATAAAAAATAAATAAAAAAACATAAAAAAATACAGCCCACTAAATTTATAAGAGATTATGCTATTATAAAATTCTTTCAATTAAAAAATATGAATAATTTACGGAAACTTTAGATGTACAAAATATTTACTCTAAAATTGTTTCAAAAATAATCTATATAAATTATCTCGTAAACTATTATTCGAATGAAAATTTTATGGCAAATCCCCTGACCAAAAAATAGTTTCATGCGCATATTTGAGACAACCTGTATATCTAAAAAACTATTTTTAAAATCTGCCCATATGCTAAAAAAATAATAACATTTAATTAATTACATAATATCTGAGCTTAATAACCAAATATAATTAAATGTTAATTTATAATTACTATCAGCTTGCCGATTTATATCCGATGGAAATCTAAAAAAAATCAAAGAACAATTTTTTGAATTATTAGTACAATTAATAGCAGCACACAGTAATGCACTCATTTTTCATCAATCCGTCTCTGTGCTGGAACGCAACGCTCGAACCTCGCAGCTCGACGCTCGACGGACGGAATTCAACTGAAACCTGTGACTGAAACTGAAACCACAAAATAGGACTTGTGTCTAGCCCTAGCAAGCAACTATTAAGCCCGACCAATCACGTTAGAGTTTTTGACAAACACAAATGAATTAACACACTACAAATAACCACGCTAACCAACCTGATTGGTCAAGCTTAATAGTTGACTGCTAGGGCTAGACACTGCTCAAAATAGGTTGATTTCTATTTTGTGCTGAAACGCTTTGCAACCTGCCGATATTCGACATCTTGCAAAAACTGGCAGAAAATATTTGCGAGAGTGCAACTACTCTTTTCCTTAAACTGCAGTCGGCCAGCGCGCGCAAAAACCATTACATCGCTAATTGTTTATTGATATATCTTTATTAGTTTAAAAGCAAAAAATATGGCGTTTGCTTTGTTACCTTTTAAATTGTTTCTTTTTTTCATTTAGGCCTTCGTTTTTCGTTAAATGAAAGTTATATTAAAAAATTCTATTTTTAAACCAAATTTTCGCATGATTGAAATGTATTCATGTTTAAAGTTTTTTTTGGTCATAAGCCCTAATGGAAATGTTTTTTTGTAAATAATTATAAAAAATTACTCCCTACGAAGACTTTATTGTGTACTAGATCAAAAAATAAGTATTTGTTTTCTCTATACGGTGGTATTAATATATCGATTTTTGATGATAGTGCCCTTTTACCCGGTCTAATTTTGTACTACTTTCGGAATAAGGGTCCCCATCATATCATGTACTTGTACTTCCATCCCTGAAAAATTCAGCTTGTGACACCGAAGTGAGAGGTAAAGTCAAAATAAGCTTTAGGTAGGTGTAGGTCAAGGTTATTATACTCTAAAGGTTACCTCACCTAAGCCCAACCAATCATAGCGCGTGACGTCAGCCCGAGACCCAGTTCCTCTTTGTCTAGCCTAGAAGTTATATGGATTTTGTCTCTCTCGTACTAACAGTTTAAATTTGTATTTTGTCGTGTCTCTTTAAAATAATGCAAAATACAAAAGATTGGTATTATTTTGTAATGATTTATATTTTTTTCTAAAATGTAAAAAATTCAATTATTTTCATATAATTTAAAAGAAATGTGTAAATGTATTAAAACGTATAAAGTTAATTAATTTTGAAGATTTTGTGTAAAGGATCTTATCGTGAATAAATCTTGATTTTCTTTTTCATAAATATTTTTGGTATATATTTATAAAGATAGATACAATAAATAAAATTTAATATTTGAAATTATTATCAATAATTTTACATTTTTATTTAGTAATATCTGAATTTGTATAGTTATTGGAATAAATAAATCAAAGTACCTAATCAAAGCAATAAATTATTTATTTGTAATATAAATGATGTATATGCAAATTTAGTACAAATAGTTTTAAACAATTCAGAAATACCAATTTTACGACATGGTTTGTATAATTAATTTCTAAATATGTATATAAATAAAAATAGCTTACATTGTAAAAAAAAATTTTTAGCATTTCTTGTACATATTTACGTATTATTTTCTTTAAACTTAAAGTTTAAATTTAGAACAAAAGTTGAGTTTAAAATTTATAAATAAACTAACCGACTTAGTATTCTACTGTTTTATAGGACTTTTCTGCTTCAAGTGTAGTTGAGATTTTAAAAGTTGTTTTTGTTATTTCTTAATTTTTTGGTCCTCTGCCATCAATAATTCTTCCTTTAGAGATAGGATAGTTTTCAATTCATTATATTTTAACAATAATTCATCATACATTGGATGACCAACACAAGTAATAACAGCTCCAGATGCTACGGTACTGTGTTCCTCGGCAACATTTACATTGCCTTCCTCGAAATTTTCATTAGTAATTCCTCCACCGCCACTTGTGTTCTTCTTTGTTCAACTCGTTTTTGCCTCAATGGATCAATTTTGTCCAGGTGGACTGACTGTTTTTACTTTTTACATAAGATTCTACTCATACCTATATAACTAAAAATATTATATTACAAAAAAGCCGAAAAGCTTTGAATTATTTACCAATTGCTTTTAATGTTTTTCTTAGTTTCCAAGTCCTAATAATTCCTCTTACTTGAAGATCTCTTTCATAATCGTCATCGGTAAAATGATCTGAACAAATCCTACAAGTTTCTACATTCCATTTTCCATCTCTACAACTCTACACCCTTTGAATCTGCACCCATATTTGAGTAATTTCGGTATTCTTCGGGAAAGCATGAAATTTAATAATTTTTCCAAATTTTTAGCCTTTTCTAGGCTATTTTGACAAGTAGTAACTGTATACTGAGTTCACAGCATTCTAAAAATATTAAATCTTATTGTTTTTTTTTCAAAAATAAATAGTTATTAAAAATTAGTATAAACATGCCGATAAACGTTTCTCTAGACTGAACATTTATATAAGTAATTATACTCACTTAATTGCCAGTTCCTGAGATCTACGCAAATAATAAATTGTCCACAAAGTACTTAAATATGTGTAGTTCACAGACCACAATTAAATTAACCAGTAACACTTAAAGAAATATTAGAAAATAAAGAAATAATACAAAAACGACACAAAACCACTACCAAACCAACGGCCATTGCCATTAAACCGTACGAGAAAGAAAGAAATGGAAGGTATTAAAAAGAGATACAGCGGGTCTCAGAACTACGTCACGCACACCCGCCGTCCTCCGCGCACCTCTCGCCTAAAATCTGCCGACTGAGGTAACCTGTAGAATCTAATAACCTTGGGTGTAGGTCATGTGTAGGTACTCTAGGTATATTCTACCTAGACAGTAGCTAACAGTAGATGGACAGTAGTAATTAATTTGATATCCGATAAGTAGTTGTCATTATATAAGTTTAATCATCTTATAGGTACCTCCTATAACGGTAGGTTTTGGATTTTTTCCTGATTGGTATGTTAAATAAAAATATACTAGGTATACAGGGTGGCCCATCGAAAACGTTCCGCAAGGCATAACGGCCAGGGTAATTTTTTTTTCAGAAAATTCAAAAACACGTCAATTTTGTTTGTGAGGGGGACAACTTTTGCCCCAAAAATGATTGCAAAATCTTCAACCCTCTAAGCGGGGGTGTCATCCCCCATTTTTTTCAAATGGGAAGGGGGGTCAAGTGGTACTGCAATGAAAAGGGCTTTCTATTCTCTATACTTTCCCGCTTCGTTTTTGAAAATCGGTCGAGTCATTCAGAAAATATGACGAATTGAAATTTGAAAAGTTTATTTAAACATTTATCAGAGTAAATGATATAGATAAATGATATAGAAAAATTATTTTTAAAATAAAGTTCGATTGTTTCTACTTTTTCTGCAAGTGAGTATACCATAATTGCTAAAAAGTTTAACGATATTGAGAAGAACTTCAACGCACAAGTCACAGAACAGCTATCTAGCACGTGATCGTTCAACCTTGTGGCAAATGTAAAAATGCGTAAACATCTAGAAATAATAAGAAAAAACCTCAAATTGGTCGAAGGAATTTATCCATATCATTTACTCTGATAAATGTTTAAATAAACTTATCAAATTTCAATCCTTCATATTTTCTCAACGACTAGATCGATTTTCAAAAACGAGGCGGGGAAATATAGAGAATCGAAAGCTCTTTTCATTGCGGTGCCACTTGACCCCCCTTCCCATCTGAACAAAGTTGGGACTGAGACCCCCGCTCAGAGGGTTGAAGATTTTGCAATCATTTTTGGGGCAAAAGTTGTCCCCCTCACAAACAAAATTGACGAAATTAAAAAAAAAATACCCTGGCCGTTATGCCTTGCGGAACGTTTTCGATGGGCCACCCTGTATAAATGTCTAACACATACATATGTATGCACATTCAAAAGCATGTATTGAATGTACTTATTTTAACCAATGTGTTTTGTTCTTTTAATCTCACAAATAAGAAATGTTTTATAGTTTTTATTATAAAAAACAGTGATTATGTGATTATACAATTTATTTACACCCCTTACACTGTTTTCTGTAAGGGGTGTAACCAGGAGTATATTTCGTAACCTCTTACGATATAAGAGGGCCCCCAGAAAGTGTTTTATTACTGAATGCTTAGATTTAAATTTAGTAATATATTTGTACATAAAATAAAATAGACTAAAAAATCAATTAAGTAATATTGACATAATTACTAAATAATTACAAGATTTTTTTTAGTGCATTTTTGGTCACCTAATTATAAAGGAGAGATATCCAACCATTGCATTATTTTACTCACAAATAAATGTTTTATGGTTTTTATTATAAAACAAGGATTAATTTATTATACACCCCTTAACCCAAAGACTCCAAGGAGGATATTTCGTGACCCCTTATATTAAAGTGGACAAGCTTTATTAGTCAATGTTTTAATTACCCAGCGTCTTGAATAAAAATCTAATGTAATTTTTTATAGAAATGATCTGATATAAAAAGCAAATTTTATCAAAAAACTTTTTGATTATCTACAAGGGGTAAACCGCGCGCTGACAAATGTCTGTATACTAATGCCAAAGTAATGCCAAAAATACAAATTAAATACCAAAATTTCTCATATAACGCCCCACTAATGCCAAGCTGATTCCAATATAATACCACTAATACCACAAATAATATGTAACGTTAAAAAGTCTAATTTTATTTAAAGAAGATATAATTCCAACTAATTGCATTATAAGGCCAATAATGCACAAGTAATACCATTAAAGTTTTAGCGTTTTTAATTTGTGTAAAATTCTCTTCTTTAACGAATTAACCTGTAACAATAGTGGTAGGTACGTGCACAGATTTTTTCGCTAGGTAACTTATTAAGTCGTTAAACAGGCTTATAAAAACTATAACAACATAGGTAACTAATATTTATAATTTAATTCGAGGTTTAATCTCAAATAATAAATATTTTTACTGGTGTATTTCTGAAGTGTTCAATATTAAATGTAGATATTCTTCAAGTTATGCGAAGTAATAAGTAATGTTTCCGGTGAGACCGCGTATATGTCACCGGATTCTGGTTAGTATAAAGAATTTCTTCTATAGAAAGAGTTTTTTCTATATTTTTCTTTCAAAATAAGACTAATTTCTTCTTATTCTTTTAAATATTACAGTGTTTCTTTTTCCTAAAATGTTATACTTAATTTTCGCTTAAAATTAAAAATCACAAATGGAGGAAAATATATGTTATTGAATAAAGTTTCAGGTGGCATTTCACACATTTATCTATTAAAATCGAGATTAAAATAATAAACTTGCGTAACATGTTATACATGAGATAGAAAGTTTCAGAATCGATTAATACGCAATACGTTACGCAGTCAACTTGTTCCTATGCGCGGATAAGCGTCTTCAAGACTCTTCCATCGGCCAGGGTCACGACGACGCCGACGCCGAAAAGGAATCGGCCTACGTTTGTTTAAACAGGCTGGACACGGTGGACTACACACAGGCTGGACTGGTGGATATTGGCGAGTCTGAATATTTATAAAAATTTGCAAAGTAAAATATGTTGGAAAAATAATTAATAATTTATTAAATTATTTTATTTAACTGATTAATTTTCATTTAAAAGGAATTTTTGTAATTCGCCACTATATTCGTTAAAAACTAAGAAACTCATATCAAATTTAAGTTTTGCGATTTTGACTTATACCTACTTTTAACAAAATCTGAACACATTTTAATAAAGATTTTGGTAATATTTGTGTAGATTGACTACAAGTTGTATAACATAAATTTCTACGACCGGTTTACCTAGTGGTCTGCAGCATCGCCTTGTGGTGCAAACGTGGGTTTGTTAATCTGTGACGTGACGCACAACAGCCAAGAAAAACAGAAGTGTGGCTAATAATTTAGTAATTCAAAAAAAAATGTCTTTTAGATACAGTAGTAGGTATTAAAAAGTTTTGTGTTTAAATGGGGTTTGCCTTTAACAGTTAAAAAATTATATCGTAAAGTGTAACTTTCAGTAAGAATTCTTTATCTGTCATCGATCATGATCTGTCATGTTAACCTGATGTTTTGTATGTTGTTTTTTTGCTTGCTTGTTTTACGGATAGGTGCGATCGCATAAATATTATTGATAATGCTTCATTTAATGTTAACATTACTACTTTTTCAGTGAATATTTAAATCTGTTGTTTTTTGTTAAGTTCGTTATTTAAACATATGTATGTAATACACTCATATTAACACTAATCATATTTTTACGTTTTTATTCATCATTTTCAATGCCCCCCCGGTTGCATCTTCGTAAAGGACTGTGAATTTTTTATTGGAATAACACATACATTTACAAATCAAACTACTTTTTTTTTAAAAAGGGTTTTTTAATGTTTTAGAATATGAATGCCTAAATTACCTAAGGGTACAAACATAATAGAGCATTTTCATCTCGCCGTTGCGTTGGTGTTGGCTACGATGTTGCGTTGGTGTTGGCCATTATGTTTGTACCCTAAGTAAACAAAACAAAGCTATTATTCAAATTTTATTTATTAATTCAAAATAACGAGATATAACAAAATTAAAAACACCTAACCTATTTGAAACATAGAAAATCTTACAGTAACTAAAAGAGTTAAAACAATTTTTATAAACACTAATAATAATTAATAACACTTATGGCCCCCAAAATTGTGCACAGCGCCGGACAGGCCCAGTTATTACGCTGTTTAAACGCGAGTTTATTTTTGCGCACAGGTAATTTTACTCGTTTGCTCATCGTCATAAAAAACCATTTTCGTACTATGAATTATAGTTTCCATTTAAAAAAAAATCAAGACCTACAGGTAGAAAATCGGCATCCTCGCGTAAAATTACATTGCAAACTTAGTAAATTGAGTGAGTGACTTAAAACGATGTTCCTGTACCACACTTTTTAACTATAAAATTTTAGAAATGAATTCGTTTTGTTTTTCTTGCACTATTATGAAGCAGTTAGGTCATTTCCTTTAATAACAGAATTTTTATGCTCTATTTTTTCTTACGGCCAGCATTACACTATCAAATTTCTTTGTCAAAGATCTTGTATGTATAAAAGAGATTTTTGATGAAAAATTTGACATTGCTAATGTCAAATATTTTCAGTCATGCAGTAGTCGTCAGTCAGTATTGGTACTATCAAATTTCTTGGTCAAAGAATTTGACTGTGTAAATTTTGTGATTTTATAAAATATTGTATATTAACACTGTCAAATTTTTCATTAAATATCTATTATCCCATCAAAAACATAGAATGTAAAAAAATGCCAAGTCTCGAAACCAGGGTTCGGAAGTAGTTAATTAAGACGTAATTTACCTGATTAACTACGTGTAGTTTTTCTTCAAAAACTACGTCTTTTCCCGTTCATTAACTACACGAAAACTACGTTAATAAACTATGTATTGATATTATGAATAATTTTCCTTTGTATGAAGTGTAATAGAGATAATTTGATGTAAATATTATATTTAAAACCATATTTCTTCTGTTTTCTTAAAGACATTATGTGTTTTTAAAGCTTCAACTTATTATAATTTCACCTCAAACCTTTGATATTTTAAAGTTACATACATAGGTTACATAAACTACACCCTCTACATAAACTACATTAACTATATGTAATGTGTTTATGTAGTTTTTAAAAGTAACATGTAGTTATCCGAACCCTGCTCGAAACACAATTCCTCCGCTATAAAAAGTTGTGAGATCTCATGTAAAACCAAGTCAGTTTATTTTATTTAGTCTCTCTTTAAGCACCTATTCAACAAT